TGGACCTAGAGGCTTTTCTCCATGCAGACTATGTGGTTCCCAAACCCCCTACCACTGACATCTCTGCTCTTGCCACCATCACATCTGTGAAGAATACACACACCTCTGTGGCATGCCCTGTGGGGCATCTTGGGGGTGGGGGGAGCTCCTCTACCCTCGTATAGTGGAAGTTCTGCACCTGCTTGTGAGAAAGACCATTCCGTAGGGTCCTGGAAAAGTGGTATTTATTTGTTTGTTTGTTTGTTTGTTTGTTTATTAAAACATTTTTATGCCGCCCCATTCGCCGAAGCCTCGGGGCGGCTTACAACATAGATAAAACAATAAGTTAAAATATCCATATAAAATGATCTTAATTAAAACACACATTATAAAATAAAATAAGCCGCCCTGGCCAGATAAAATTCAATTGTATTTAGCATTTAAAATGTTGCTTAAATAAAAAGGTCTTAGCCTGGCACCGAAAAACAAATAACGACGGCGCCAGGCGGACCTCTCTGGGGAGCGCGTTCCATAACTTAGGCGCCACCGCTGAGAAAGCCCTTCTCCGAGTAGCCACCCTCCTAATTTCTCTCACGGAGGGCTCCCGGAGAAGGGCCTCTCCCGCCGATCTCAGGGGGCGACTGGGCAAATATGGATGTAAGCGCTCCTTCAGGTAACCAGGACCCAAGCCGTTTAGGGCTTTATAGGTCATTACCAACACCTTGAATTGGGCCCGGACTTCAATGGGGAGCCAGTGAAGCTGACGGAGAACTGGAGTCATGTGAACATAACGTCCAGTCCCCGTCAGCAGCCTGGCAGCTCTATTCTGAACCAATTGAAGTATCCGGACCGTCTTCAAGGGTAGCCCCACGTAGAGCGCGTTACAGAAGTCAAGACGGGAAGTCACCAGCGCATGAGTCACTGTTGCAAGGCAGTCGTACTCCAGGTAGGGGCGCAGCTGATGAATCAGCCGAAGCTGGAGGTTGCCTCCCCCCCCCCCCCCCGCTTTGCCTACAGACAGTCATGATGGACACATCAACTCCCTGCCTGGAACATCCATACAATGTGGTTTCCATAGTTAAACAAGAAGCAAAGGCAACCATGTAAAATTCTAAACACAAAATTCCAAAATTCCTGTGATGTAATAGTCACATAGGTTGCAATTGTGACAGCCATCAGCCTTGTTTTTCTTTCTTTCCTCCTATTTCTGCCTCCTTCCTGCCCTCCAGAACTCATGCCAACCTCCTTCTTGTAGCATCTTGCCTGGTTATAAGAGATCTGGGGATCTTGGAAGCATGCATATTTTTTGTGATCCTTCAGTTGGCATAAGATGGTATCCCATGGACAATGAGACTTGTTTCTTGAAAAATAGAAATGGAAAGGAAACCTTATGGAGGTTAATTTGCAAATTTGATGGGTACGCCTGCCTCAGGACAGGCCAGTTTATGTGTCTTGTCTTTCTCAGATTGGATGGTTCATGCTGGTAGTGGGAAGGAGGGCATGCATCTACATATGCTCCCTGCCATCTAGTGTCCATTTCTGGAAGTGCTGCTTCCTGCAGTCCCAGCTTCTGCAAAATCGTTTTCCCTTTCTTAAAATCGCCATTGTTTGAAAACTCCTTCCTCGCTCTCAGCCTACATTTGTCAGTGTTATGGCTCCTACACCCCGCTTCTGAGAGCTGAAGAGTTTCAGTGGCTTCAGTGCTTACTCAGTTTTCTGAGAAGGACACTGGAGGCCTGTGGCATATCTTTCCTGGAAGGTTTATTTACACTCAGCTCAAAATGAGGAACCAGAACTTTTCTAGTCCAGCAGCTCTCTGCCTTTCCCTCAGCTGCCTCAGGACTCTCCCTGCTGCCCAGGTCAGAGATCCCAAGTCAGTTCTCTTTCCTGTCTTCTAATCAGACTCTCCAGCCTGCCTTCCTGCTCACCGAGGCCTAGTAAAAGAAAAGCCTATCCTAAATCACTTTGCATTCAGAGCACCAAACTGCAAGGTTAATTTTGCACCAACTTGCAAGGTTAATTTAACTGCAGAAGTAAATTTTGTTGTGTTCTCAAGTACACAACGCTATCAAGTTTTTTCCTCTCCAAATGGAGTTCTCTTCTTCTGCAGTAGCTGGCTTCTCACAAGCCCACCCAGTCCAACCCTCACATATTCAGAAACAGAGAGTGGCCACTTTGTGTATCCCTTCACAGAGAGCTGTGACCCTTCGGACAAACTTGCTCTCCAACTGTGATCAGGAGAGATATTTTGTGAACTCTAGAATGTGTTTCTGGAATTAGAACTTTCATGAGGCAGAGTGTCTGGTACATGTTGGTGTACCATTTTCAACATAATCGCATACATGTTTAGACAAAGGAATGATTCCCAAAATTAAACTGGGGTGGGGTGGGGGCTCTGTGTGGATGTATCAGCAACATGCAAAGCGATTTTGGGAGTTTTATTTGTATAAAATCACAAATTAAGGGCACAAGCCTATGCATGTTTGGACAGAAAAAAAAAAGTCTTACAACTCCCAACATTGCCTAGCTAGCCATGGTGGCTGTGGAATGCTGGGAATTGTAGTAGGTAGTTATTTTTTCCCTGTCCAAACATGCACCTTTGATCATTAACTAGCATAGATACTTCTTTTCCCAATCAGGTATTGCTTGCTCCATTTCAGGAAGCAGAGTTTGTGGAGAGGGTAGATCCAGTCACAGGTCACCTTCATCATACACTACTGTGTGGGCTTGACCCTTTAAAAATTGAGAAAAAAATTAAGAAGTAACGTAATATAAATAATAGAGGCCTGGTTTGGCCACATTACTTGTGCAAGGAACCACAGTATCCTAGCTGATCACAAGCTGAACATAAGCCAGCAGTGTGATGTAGCTGCTTAAACAGTTGATGTAGACTTAAGGCTGTATGGAGTGTCAAAGAAAGTGTGTCAAAGGAAGTAATCATTATTCTCCTATTTTGTGTTGGTTAGGACACATCTGGAGTATTGTGTCCAGTTCTAGGAGCCAAATTTTAGCAAGGAATAGTCAAACTTAACCCATATCCTCCTAAGGTTGTCTCGGAGCCACAAGTCCCATGAGGAATAGCACCTAGATCACTTAATTCCCTTCACTTTGAGAAGCCAAGGTTAAGGGGAGACATGATCACAATCTTTAAATACCTGGTGGGCTGTCATGTAGAAGATGGAACAGTCTGAACAAATGGGTGCAAATTGTACAGAAAGAGATTATGGTTTGATGTGTACAAAACGTTCCTGACAAATTGCTATTTGACAGTGGAAGAAATGTCTTTAGATGGTAGCAGGCTCTTCTTTGCTGAGCCATTTAAGCTGCAGTTGCAAGATGCCTGCACCAGAGAAGGGGTTAGACTCAGTTAACTCCTAGATCCCTTCCAATGCTACGATTCTATAGCACAGAAAGAAAGTCTTGTTAAGTTTACATTCAGTAAGTGAGATGATCACTGTAAACTTTAGAACATCTGTCTCTTGATGAGAAGCTGAACAAGGTCTGGGCAATTGTAGTACTGTCAAAAGGAAAAGCACATCCTTGTTACATAATACTGAATGAGGGGTATAAAAAAGAACTTTTTGGTATCCACTTAATTCCTTTTAATTTCCTGCTGGAATAAGAGGTTATACATTCTAATGCCAATGCAATATTGCCCTTTAAAATCATACCAATGTTTGGTTAAGAAAAAAAATACAAAAATACTTTTGTATAAGTACTGCATTTGTAGCAGAAGAATATTTGTTTGTTACATCTCTGCACGCATCTCAGCCTGTGTTAATGAAACTACTTGGTGGTCACAGAATAGGTAGATGGGAAAATACACATTTCTATCTTTTAACTTGCCATTTTTGCAAATATGTCCTGCATCAAGGGAAGCTTCAGTGTTGCATGTGTATTTTTTAAATCCAAAATGTTATTTTAAAACAAGCATATGTGCCAGTTATTCTCACAATGACCCTGTATGCTAGGCTAGTAATATTCCTATTTTACAGATGGAGGAACAGGCTGAGAGGCCAGGGTGGGTCCTGAATTCTCCACGTAGTCCTTAACTAAGAAGACTGTCAACTTCAGTCTCCTTGGTTTAAAGCCAATACTGTCTGGTTGCATCATGATGTGAACATTTTTAAAAGAGCCTTCTTGATTGCTACACTGGCCTTAATCCTAACAGGCTCACACACAGTGTGTCTGTCAGGGAGGACACTTCTAAGATCTGCTGAATGATTAGCATGCCTGGGAATTCCCTGCAGCCACTTCCCATGCCTGAAGAAGATACTGCAGCCAAACAGCACGGCTCAACCAGGGCGAGTGGCAAGAAGTTCTTCAGCGAGATCCAAGGTTGTATCCAGTGTTAATCTAACAAGTCCCATTCATTTCATCGGGCCTTCTCTAAGCAGGATTAACACTGGATAGAACCACCCAGAAAGGGTGACTTCATCCAAGTCCCAAGCTTGGGTTCCTTCCCTTCTTACTTAGAACTTTAAAGAATATAAGTGTCCCAGCTCTCAACCTTTCCTCTCTGCCTTTGGATGTTTCATAGGTGATATTCCTGTGATATTCCTGCATCTTTGAAATGGGGATGATCTCAGCAGAGTAGCCCCTCCCCTTCACTTCATTATGATGTGGGAAGATTCTGTGTCTGCATTTCATCTCCTGGGGCCACACACACATTCCACCTGGAGCCATATGAAGGGACAGCCGAAGATAGCAAGAAGCTGGCCCCTTATTCTATCAGGTCCCATGGCCAACCCAGGTGCCAAAGGGATTTCCCTGTTGTGGAAAGCTGAAGCATTTAGGTCCTTTTGGTTTGGGGTTACCTTCCCCAATCTGGCACCCTCTTGATTGTTTGGGCTTCAGCTTCACTCAGCCCCTGCTAGTGTAGACTATTTGGAGGTATTTGGAGGCATTGGCATTATAGAGGCATTTGGCACTGCTTTGGCACCATCTGGAAGGGTGTCCATTCCTGACCGAAGCAGGGCTGCAATGGACATTCACAACTGGCTGCTCTTTCTGCCCTGCAGGTGCTGTAGCGAGTATGGTGGTGAAGCAGAAATTGGCAGAGGTCATCCTGAAGAAACAGCAGGCTGCTCTGGAAAGGACCAATCCTCCTGTCATGCCATACAGGTGATTTCTTTATAGGCACATGTTTTTCCAATGACCTCTTCAAGTGCAATTTTGTGCAGGATGTGAATGAGTTCAAGTGCATAGAAATGCACATAAGCCAGACCTCAGTTCATAAATCAGCGTTTCCTTGCTGCAGTGCCTTCCTGGGGCGTTGGCCTACAGCTCCCATCATCCCCATGATGGCTATGTGTGATGGAACTTGAAATCCAGCACATTGGGAAGGTTGCTGGCATGGGGGAGAGTGCTCTTAAAAATGGAGCCATCAGGATGTGGGATGGGTTGACTGCTACTCCCCTGATATAGCCTGGATCACACTCTGGTTTATTCAAATTGTGAGTGCTATTCACTCACACCTCCTGCCAGGCACTAAATGCCTGCTCTACATCTTATATATCCATGCTGTGAACGGAAAGCCTCCTTTGACTAGGATGTATCTTTTCAGCAACTGCAGTCCTATACGATGAGGCCCTTGAATAAAAGGGAGTCTTGTTTTCCAAGGTAGAATGCCCAAGATTGTGCTTAATTTCTGTCTGTCTTTTTTAGAGATATTTTTATGGCCTTCTGAATCCCTGGCCTTCTACATTCCATGAGATAATGTTAGTCATGATGTGTCCATGCACAATGTCTGTTCCAAGCAAATAGGTTTGGCAGGTTTTCTAAAATAAAGCAAACACTACCCATACCTGCAAGACCTATTCATGGCACAGAGTTCTGCCATGCAAGCTAAAGTTTTCACAAGTGGATGGTGCCATAGTTAAAGGTGGGGAAACCTGTGTTCTTCCATCTTGTAGTGTTCTTTGACATAACTTCTAAATTTTTTCAAGTTAGAGAGATTGGAAAGAATTTGCCGCAGAATTAAAAGCATGAGAATTTAGTCTAAAGCCATAGACTTGTATCTCAAGTAAACCTAATAAATTGGACCTATTAATCAGCCATAAATGAACCTGCTTGAACATCTGAAGCTGAATGGCCTTAGTTTTCACAGAAAGACAACATGGTAACACTGCCTTCCAGGTGTTTGGACTTCAACTCCTATCAGTCCCAGCATGGCCAATAATCTGGAATGCTATGAATTAAATAATATGAAATATTTGGACAGCATCAAATGGGGGAAGGCTGTTGAAAGTCATTGGAAAAAAGATATGGATAAGCTTCTCCCTATAACTGGAGGTGGGGAGGGTGGGTTTGGGAGAAGTGCTGTCCTTCCACTGGTGCAATGTCCTTTCATGGCTTGCCCCAGAAGGGTGACATTTACAGCTCATGGATCAGTGGCAGTTTGAACTTTGGGGAGGGACCATGTGGCAGAACAGCTGCTTTGTGTACGTGGCAATGCCTGAGAGGCATTCACAGCAGAGAACAGAGTTGAACAGGGGCTCGGTTTACAGCTCCAGCTGTTAACTGCTATGCCATGCTGAAGGAAGAGTGTCAACAGTGCCTTTGCTTCTTCTCTTTCATCCAGGTCTTTTGAGCCAATGGAACATGAAGGTCCAGCCAACCCTCTGCTTCCTAGCTTCTTTCCACCTGCCTCCGACAGCTCTGGCAACTCCCCAGAGCACTTTCCACTAAGGAAAACAGGTGAGGTAGTGCAACTAGGGTTGCAGATGACCAGTTGAGGGGTGCGTGCAGTGGGAGATGGATGTGGGCTCTCTTGCTCCAGCTTGGTCCAACTGGCAGAAATCACCTGGTGACATTTCCATGGCATGGAGATTAACAGGCTGCTTGTGCATCTCAAGCTGATTCTATGCCTGTTGGGTTGGCCAGAGAAATGAGGGTTGCAGGCAGAAAGCAATGAAGGGATCGCATGGAAGTACAGAACAAGCTGGGGGCACTTTGGAGGCATGTGCCCCACCAGTAGCTTTTCATGCAGTTCACTGCTGGTGCACATACAAGTTGCAGCAAAGGGGAGAGGATGGGAAGCTCAGTGATCGGCTCTGTTGGCCTGTTTTCCCCCAGCTGATTCCACTCCAGCTGGACATTATAAGAACTGACGTGTAACATTTAAGAATTTGTGCCCAAGTTTGCTCCCCATATGTTTTTTTTTCTTTTTCTGCTTCATTGTTTCAGTTGTAAACCTGTTGGCAAGGATCATCTCCTCCTCCTCCTCCTCCTCCTCCTCCTCCTCCTCCGTCTTTTACATATGCATCTCTGAGAGCCTTTATGGGCAAAGAGTGGACCTTGAAACATTTTTGGTGAAAATGAGAATAATGATCACATAGGAGGAGGTTGTGCTGTTTGTGCCATGTCCCTTCCTCATGCAAGAGCATGCCCCTCTTTAAAGAAGCAGGGGAAGTTTAATAGGAAAACACACACTTTGAATGAAGAAGGTCTGAGGGTCAGTTCGCAACACCAGCAGTAAAAACCTGCGTCTGGCAGTAGGGCTAGAAACAGCATCCATCGCAGACCCTGGAGAGATGCTGCCAGTCACGGTAGATGATACTGGATTAGGTGGACCAGTAGTTTCATCATACAGGAAGATCCATTGTGAGTGTTTCCACTGATAAGTAGACATACTCACACATATTTCAGCTTCCTGACTGAAGAATCTTTCTTCTTTGGTTTGGGTGATGGAGGAAGAGAAAGGGTTTGTGAGGATTACCTAGCATCACAGAGGTGCAGAGGTACAGACAAAGTGCTAAAGAACACCCACTGCAACAATAACAGTAAAGTATTGAATGAAAGGTATTCCTTGCAGACAGTATTCTTTCTGAGAAAAGGAACAGAAATGAGAACAATCAAGAAAGGAAGAAAATGGGAAGAGTACTGTTGTGCCCATGTTTTGTTTTAATTTAAAATATTTCTAGGATGCCTTTTAGGACAACAGCACTGCCAGGATGGCTCACACAATATAGTTCCACACAGTAAAAATAGCAAAAAGCAAAATCATCATCATAATCAAACATCCACAATAAAATTTCCAGTATAAACAGTAACACAAATCTAAAACTGAATTGCAGGTAAAACCCCAGAACACTTCAGTAAAACATAATCAGAGAAATCAAGCAAGTCTTCAGGATCTGTAACAATGGGATCTGACAGGTTACATTTCCTTAGGGTACAGTCCAGTGGGGCTGTCCATTATCCTCTGAACTCGAAGGATTATGGGCATCTTTGCTTATGGGAAGAGCACAGGTGTGTGTTTCTACAGTTCTGTAAATTAGCCAAATGGGCTGTTTTGACCATTGAACTGAGTTGATTTGGGGGAGGGGGGACAGGGAGGCATGAGCCCCACTAAGATACATTATGTGCTGGTGAACCTGGTTCCCTCCTGTCCCCGTTCCCTGCTGCCTGCACTGCATTCCTTCCCAATGTCGCTTTTAGAACCTTGGAGACAATGCTACCATGAGGAAAGGGGGATCTTAATGTGACTCCCCACCCCTAAGAGTGCCCTTTTTTCCAGCCCCAGATCTGGGAATGTGAATGATCCTCTGGCCTTCTAGGTGTAGCCTGAGACTATAGAAATGTCATGCTAGTTTATACTTTCCTGTTATTCCCACTACCTTGTAGGTAGCATTTGCAGTTCCTGCTTCAGGGACTAAGGGGTCTATCGATTTTGGCTGGCCTTGGTACCACCAGCTCTGTACCAGCCCTGACTTGGCCAGTGGGGAGTTGGGAAGCCTTGTGGCAGACAGTCCTGTGTTCAATTCCTGACCTCTCCAGGTAGATCAAGGCAAGATACATGTTTGACACACAGGAGAAGAGTTGCTGCCTCTTGGACCCATGATCTGGCTCCATGATTTGGTAGCTTCCTCTGTCTCTGTGACCTTGCCAGAGTAAAAGTCACCCTCACTGTGAGCTCAGCCATGACTACCAGGTCCCTGGCGCATCCTTTCAGCTGCTGTCGGAAAATGGATTTGCTGAGCTAGGTGTACGTTTGCTCAGAGACGTGGCAGCTCCCACATTCTTCTTCGTGGTCTCTGTGCATCACACATAATGGGCGCTGCACCTGTGCAGTGCCTGTTGCTGGGTAGAATACAAAAGCTTCAACGGATTTTGGCGGGAACTCCGCACCCTCCCCCACGGTGCTATAAAAGGCGGAGTGCCTGCCATTTCCCTCAATCTTCTTTCAACCGCCGATCGCTTTGCCTTGAGCCATTCATTATCGTTCATTGCATCTTCTTGCTCTTTGTTCTAATCGCCTTTTTCTCTTCCTCTTCTAGTTAAGATAATCCAAGTTTTATTACCTTACCTTTCCTAGTTAATCCTTTTCCTCCTTTAAAAAAAAAGTTCTTACCTTTCTGCCATCATTTTTCGCTATCCTCTTTTCTTGATGGCTCAGCGCGCAGCCTTTCAAAAGTTCTCTAGATGTGGGGCCAAAATGTTTCCAATGGACCCGCACAAGCTTTGCCATCTATGCTTGGGAGAAGGACATCGCACTGAGAAATGCAGCCATTGTCAGGCGTTTACTAAACAAGCCCAGAAAAATCGGGAGAACTGGCTGAGGAAGATACTTTGGGATCAGGTCCTCATAGCTTTGGACGAGCTTGCCACCCAGGCCGCTCCAGCTGGTGCTCCATGGTGACCTCCCCTCGTCCACCATCCAAGGGAGCTGCTTCTAGGGAGACGACTCGCTCCTTCAATTCCTTCTCTCTCAAACAAAAGGAGAAACGGAAGCACACCAGGCAAGGAGATCCGGCAGTCCTGGAAAGGTCTAAGAAGGACAAGACCGACAAAACCAGCTGCAAGCACCATAGGCTTGCTCAAGAACCACACTGGGACTCGGGTTCGACCACTCCATCGGTCCCGACAGCTTCATCAGTACCGATGCCATCGACACTGACACCGCAAGCTGTGATGCAAGTTACGCCGCCTGGAACCCCCCAGAGAGTCACACTACTGGCTCCTACAGTGTTCAATCCCCCTGAGCCTATGATCCATGGATTGATGTCTGACGGGGAAATCTGAGACTCACCACCTCGGTTAATACCGAGCCATCAACCGGCTCGTTCACCGACACTGATGCCGTCGTCGCCAGAGGCATCTCCAAGGCCTCCTCCACCAGCCAACTCTCACCACCATCACTGCACCTCTGGCCAATCCACCAGGAGCTGGGTCCCAATGCCGTACGGCAGGCTTGAGCCACCTCAACCCTACTACTGGGACTATCTGCCTCCGTATGGCTACTACCCCATGCCACCGGAGCGCAGGCATTGATCCCGTCCAGCCAGGACTGAAGCACCCTCCACCTCGGCACCTGCGACTTCCCGTCCTCCTCTGTCTCCAGTCCAGTCGTCTTCCAGCACTCCATACCTCTACAACTCGGACTCTGAGGACTCAGACCAGCTCTCCACATCTCCTGATACAGTCATCTCCACCCAGGGACCTGGGTCCCCAAAGGAGTCCTACGCCACTTTCGGCGAACTCATGGCCCGCCTCACCCGGCCGCTGGAGATTGAGGTCGAACACTGGCCAAGTACCAACAAGGACAGTTTCTACAACATCGTTCATAAGGAACAGTCTTCCACCATCTCCATCCCACTCATCACCACCCTCCGGGAGGCTATGACAGACACCTGGGAATTCCCTAGCCAGCTGCATCCGACATCCTGGAGGTACGAATCCATGTACAAGGTTCGGGAGCAGGACATACCATTACTTTTGAAGCACCTGAAACCTAATTTGATTGTGGTCAAGTCGTCCCAGGGGCGAGACAACAGAGAACACTCAACCCCAAGAGACAAAGAGGGCAGGAAGATTGATTTAATGGCACGCTGCATGGGGCTGGGTCTCCAGATTTCCAACTATGAGGCAACAGTGGCCAGATATCAGTATTTCCTGATGCAATGGCTGGAATCTATCACCTCCACTATTCCGGAGCAACAGCGTGACCTGGCCTGCGTCTTCATCTGGGAGGCCATGCAGCTCTCTATCCAGCAGCTCACTATGGCCCGCCATCTCGTGCGCTCGTTGGATCCATCACCCTGCGCCGACATGCCTGGCTACATTCCTGCAACTTCCCCGATGAGACCAAGAGGCACATCGAGGGAATGCCCTTCGACGGTTCCAGCCTCTTCCATGACTGCACGGACCATAAGCTCAAGCACATTAACAACGCTCGAGCTACCGCTCAGAAGATGGAAATCCCTAATTCCAACCGTCGTAAGTGGCCATAATCTCTTGTTACCCTCGATACCAGCCTTACCATTTCTATCAGCCGTGCCAGCAATACCAGCCATGCCAGCAACACAACTGGGGCCAACCTGCCGCGCAAAACCAACAAGGCCGTAACCGCCAACCCGCCGACAAGTGGCAGCATTGATGAGACGCGCGAGCTGATCTTCTCTCCCCCTTTCCACCCTCCCCCCTCCCTTTTGGGGACTGGCTGCAAGGCCAACTCCCCATTTGGGAGTCCATCACATCTGATAAATGGGTACTTTCCATCATTGAGAATGGATATAAAATCGAGTTGGATACCATGTCCCCCTCGGGACCAATCTGATATACCTCCCCATCGGAGGTTCTCAGAGATGAGGTCTCCCAACTACTCTGTAAAGGAGCAATTCGATGAATCTCCCGTTCTGAGGGGCTCCACAGTTTCTACTCAAGATATTTTACTGTCCCGAAACGGGACGGCGGTCTACGCCCTATACTCGACCTATGGGGTGTCAATACATTTATTACAACTACAAAATTTCACATGAGCACCCTTCAAAATATCCTCTCCTTACTCAAGAGATGATTGGTTCACATTTTTGGACTTAAGGGATGCTTATTTCCATATCAGTATCCACCTGTCTCACAGGTGGCTTCTCTGCTTCATGGTCGGATCCGATATCTTTGAATATAACGTTCTCCTTTTGGGCTTGCTACAGCTCCAAGAGTTTTTACAAAGTGCATGGCGCCGGTTTGTGCCCACCTTCGGCTGCAGGGTGTCCAAATTTATCCCTACTTAGACGATTGGCTTATTGTCTCTCCGTCCCGAGAGCAGCTACTCTCGGCCATCGACACTACATGTACACTGCTGGATGACCTCGGACTCTGTATTAATACTGAAAAATCCTGTCTCGCTCCCTCACAGGTCATTGAATTCATCGAGCATGCCTCGACTCCATTCGAGCAAGAGTGTTCCTGCCACAGGCTCGAATGGACACTCTTCGCTCCTCAGCCCAGCGCATCCAAGAGAGCAGACAAACTCTGGCATTGTCCATCTGGAAGTTGCTGGGCCACATGGCCTCAACAATTACAGTCGGCCCAAACGCCACACTTTGGATGCAACTCCTGCAGCTGTGATTCAACAGCCTTTTCCGACCACAGCGTGACTCCCCAAGGCGACCACTTCTACCTCCAACCTCGGTTTGGTGGACGAACAAGGACAATCTCTCAGTAGGCGTGCCATTTCACCAACCGCAGCCTTTGGTATCGCTCCATACCGATGCTTCCCTTACAGGCTGGGGAGCACACTGCGCCATCCTCGATACCCAAGGCACCTGGCAAGCCCACGAAAAGACCGAGCACATCAATTATCTCGAGCTGCTTGCAGTTTTCAAAGCGCTCTGCTCCTTCAAACCCCCTCTTCAGAACCGAACAGTACAGGTAGCCTCCGACAACATTGTGACCGTCTTTTACATCAACAAGCAGGGCTGCACAAGGTCGGTACCGCTGGCCCATTTGGCCCTACAGATTTGGAACTGGTGCATTCCCAGAGGGATCACCCTGCTGGCAGTTCATCTAGCGGGTGTGGACAACGATGAGGCGGACATTCTCAGCAGGCAAATGTCCTCAACCCATGAGTGGCAGCTGGAAAACTGCATCTGCAGCGACCTTTTCCTCCACTGGGGCACCCCGTCCATTGACCTGTTTGCCACAGCCACCAATTTGGAGTGCCAGACTTACTGAATTCGAGGGGCCCGAATTCGCTGGGCAACGCCATGATGGTGAGATGGTCGGATTTGTTTCTGTACGCGTTCCCACCGATCCCGTTAATCACATGGACCCTAGAAAAAGCTGTCCACGACAAAGCCCAGGGCATTCTTGTTACGCCTTGGTGGCCATGCAAGCCCTGATTCCCGACCATTCTTAACCTCTCCCGCCGAACCTTCGTCCGTCTACCGCGGGTCCCTCACCTGATCACACAGGAGGAGAGGGCAATCCGCCATCCCACTCTTGACTCACTCAATCTCACCATGTGGCTCCTTCACTAACTGTTCCCTGTCACCTGACTTAGGTCCTGACAAACTTGTCAGTCCCGATGGCTGCTACTCGCCCGTCGGTACCAGAACCACCGTTGGTACCGACGGAGTCTCTTCCAGACATACCGAGCCTGACCTCCCTACAGTCGGACATTAACTTTATACTACAATCCACCCTACGACCAGCCGCCCGTCGATCGTATGAGGCTAAGTGGAAACGCTTCACTGCCTTTGCGGAGACCAACTGGTTCCCTCCTCATTCAGCTTTCATCAAGAATATCCTATTCTTCCTGCTCTCCCTACATCAAGATGGGCTTAAGCCCACCTCAATTAGAGTGTACATCGCAACGATTTCCCATTTTTGAGGCCCATTATCCGGATCCTTGGTGTTCTCTCACACACTCATCCACTGCTTCCTCAAAAGATTACAGAATCTCCAGCCTCCAACCCACCCCACGATCCCGACCTGGAGCCTCTCGGTGGTGTTACAAGCCCTTACCAGGGCCCCCTTTGAGCCCATGGCAACAAATGACCTACAGCTGTTATCGTGGAAGACTGCCTTTCTTGTCACCATTACTTCAGCCAGAAGGGCAAGCAAACTCTGTGCTCTCCGTATAGACCCGCCCTACCTTAATTTTCATAAGGAAAAGGTTGTCCTTCGTCCTGACCTGACGTTCCTACCTAAGGTCACCATACCCTTTCATGTCAATCAGGACATTATCCTGCCAGCCTTCTTTCCCACTCCCTCGACCCCAGTAGAGAAATCTCTCCACTCTCTCGATGTATGTCGATACCTAGCCTTTCATCAGTCTTGTACTGAGAGCTTCAGAAAGACTAAGTGCCTTTTCATTAACTACTCCAAATCCGACAAAGGCGCCATGATTTTCTCCCAAAGACTCTCTAAGTGGATCATTCAAACTATCGAACTGGCATACCAGTTGGCCAAGCTGGACCTCCCAGTCGCTTCCTAGGAACATTCCACCAGAGCTGTGGTTGCCTCCTCAGAGTTTTCAGCGGGCATCCCGCTACCAGACATCTGCAAGGCAACAACGTGGACGACCCCTTGCACATTAACCAGACATTACAGACTTGACGTACGGGCCCGACAGGACTGCTCCTTTGGCCGTGCCGTCCTTTCCTCAATTCTCCTCTGACGACACCGACCCACCTCCAGTTGGTAAGCTTGCCAATCACCCATTATTTGTGATGCACAGAGACCACAAAGAAGAAAGGCAGGTTGCTTACCTGTAACTGTCGTTCTTCAAGTGGTCATCTGTGCATTCACACAACCTGCCCGCTGGCCCCACTTGGTGTCGGTGGCTGGGACAGGAGACTCTCCCTTTCCCCCCTGTCTTGGTGTCTCCACCATAGGGGCACATACCTACCATATTGTCAGTCCTTTCTCTCACCAGTGGTTCCTCGAGCTAACCACTCTCTCCACTAGGGGGTGATTGGACAGTCTCCATAGACTGAGGGAAATTGCGGGCGCTCCGCCTTTTATACCACCACGGGGGTGGGGTGCAGAGTTCCCGCCAAAATCCGTTAAAGCTTTTGTATTCTACCCGGCTACAGGCACTGCGCAGGCACAGCACCCATTATGTGTGAATGCACAGATGACCACTCGAAGAACGACAGTTACAGGTAAGCAACCTGCCTTTCTTATATCTGTGTCTGCTTCAGCATCGGAGCCCAACCTAAAACTGCGCTACAAGTCGAAGAAGGCCAGTGAGCGGCGCAAAAATCCACTGAACCGCAAGGACAGTGCACCCCCTTCCTTGAAGAGGCGTCCAGCAGAAGCCATTGGTGAGAGGAATACCATCAAAGGGGTTTTAGAGATAGATGCTTGTTCTGGGGCAGACTTCCCCCCACCCAGTGCCCTCTGTGCATACTGGATTACAGTGCCCATTACTCACAGTGAACATGTTGGCCATGTTGTAATCTGCCCTATGTGTTCTAGGATGGGAAAGGTTGTTTGAGAATCCCCACTTCATCAGGGATGCTTCTGATAAGAGTTCCAGATATTTTCTAGTTGAGGCATTTGCCATCATTGGAGATGGGACAGCAGTTTGTGTGGAGGGGGTTAGCTTGAGCTGAAGCAAGTTTATTTGATATCAAGCTCTTATTCACTGGCTGGAACCCTAAACAGGAGGGCTCCACACTCCCAATACCTAGGGTATATCTAAGATGAAGAGTGGTTTTGCAGCTCTCCAAATCTCTACTTACTATGGATCTCTGTGACGGGGTTGAATCCCTGGACTGCAGGCCAAAACTAGACTGCTCAGGATCCAGTTCTGACCCATGTCCTCTTTTCCCAAACTACCAACCATTTGATGGTTTCCCAGCTGTGCATACTTTTCCCAATTCTAGAACGCTGAAATGTCTTTCTGAGGCCATAGGTAATGGCAGTAGAAGCCTACATCAGGAACAAGCTAGTGTTTTGGCCCAATATCCTATTGCTTTTGACTTCAGTCCACCTGTGGAATACAACTCCTGGAAAACCTCATTTCTTGACCTCAAAGAAGCTCAACACACCTTGCTGTACCTGACCCCTTGTTTGTCCTTGCCATCTTGTATCCTAAGTGCCCTGCGTTCTTTATCCTGTGCAGATTCATCTCCCAGCAGCAGCAGCACCCCAGTGTCCGGATGCAGTTCACCCAATGACAGTCTGGTGCCTGAACATGGGGCCCTGCCAGCAGCACCTGGCCTTGCACAAGAGGTATGGACTCCATGTGACCACAGATTGGGGTACAGGATTCCCTGTGTACCCCTAAAGGCTAGGCTTGCATAATCAATAAGTAAACAGTGCCAGCATCAGGAAGAAGCTTGAAAAGCAGAACACCTGGTCACCTGCAAGTGACTGAAACTACCTCTGGGTGACGAGGCTGCAGAAACATTGGTAAATGAAACATAGAAACAGTGCGAGTCAGAAGGGGTCTCCCAGGCCATCTAGTCTGACCCCAGGCTCCAGCCGGCTCAGCTTATGACATGCCCACCATGTGCATGCCCAGCCTATCTTTGAACACCCTCACCGATGGAGTCTCAACCACCTCCTGTGGAAGCCCATTCCACACCCTCGGGGTCCTGACTGTCAGGAAGTGCTTCCTGGCATCTAAATGGAACCTTGGTTCCCTGAACTTTGCTCCGTTGGAGCACATCCTGCCTTCCTCTGCAGGGGAGAACAGGTCTCTACCCATCTCCATGTGACATCCCCTCACATACCTGTATGTCACCAACATGTCCCCTCTGAGTCTCCTCCAGGCGGAAGAGACCCAGTTCCCCCAGTCTCGCCTCATACGGCATCCCCTGCAAACCGGCCACCAACCTTGTGGCCCTACGCTGCACTGACTCTAACCTGGCTATATTCCTACGGTAATGAGGGGTCCAAAACTGAGCACAATACTCCAGTTGCGGGCGCACCAGAGTCGTGTAGAGTGGTAGTAATACCTCTCTCGGTCTAGAAGCCACACTTCTGGCTATGCAACCAAGGGTGGCGTTCGCCCTCTTGACCACCGCATCACACTGCTGACTCATGTTTAGCCTGCAGTCAACCAGTACCCCGAGGTCCCTTTCACAAACACTGCTCTCCAGCCACTTGTCACCTAACCTGTACTTATGACACTATTCCTATGCCTCAAGTGCAAGACCTTCCACTTATCCACATTGAACGCCATCCTGTTGTCTCCTGCCCACTTCCATAGTCTGTCCAGATCCTTTTGGATCTGGAGTAGCTGCTCCTCAGCTGTGGCCACTGCTCCAGTTTTAGTATCGTCTGAGAATTTGATCAGCAGACTGCTCACCCCTTCGTCCATGTCATTTATGAAAAGATTAAACAGGATCTGCCCCAGGACAGAGCCCTGGGGGATCCCACTTGTCACCGGCCGCCATCCCGATGATTCCCCACTAATGGTTACTCTCTGCTTTTGGTCAGTCAACCATGCCTTAATCCACTGGGCAGTGCTTTGGTGTATCCAAAACGCCTCAGTTTCTCCACCAGGATATCATGGGGCACTTTGTCAAAGGCCTTGCTGAATTCCAGGTAAACCACATCCACTGCATCCCCTCCATCTAGCCATCTTGAAACCTTGTTGTAGAATTCCACAAGGCTTGTCTGGCAGGACCTGTTTTTGCGGAAGCCGTGTTGTGTGGCTGCCAGCCTCCCTCCCCTATCTAGCATCACTAGATCTCTCTCTATTATGAGCCTTTCCATTGTTTTTCCTATGATGGGCATAAGGCTAACTGGTCTGTAATTCCCCATGTCCCTTCTACTACCCTTTTTGAAAATGGGGACCACTGATGCCACACTCCAGTTCTCTGGAACTTCACCTGTTCTCCACGAGGCCTCAAAAATGGAGGCCAGCGGGCAAGAGAGGCCCCCTGCCAACTCTCTAAGCACTCTCGGGTGTAACCCGTCAGGGCCTGGTGCCTTTGTAATGTCCAATGTCCTGAGGAGCCCCTCGACTTCTAAGGGGGTGACTCTAATCTGTGCCCCTAAGTCCCCGGCCTCATCTGATCTCCTATGCTGATCTCCCCCGTCCTGCTATGGGGAGAACACAAAGGCAAAATAGTCATTTAGCATCTGTGCCTGTTCCCTCGTATCAGCCACTGGATCTCTTTCCTCCTTATTTAGTGGCCCCACTACTTGTCTCCCCTTCCTCTTCCTATTTACATCCTGAAAGAAGCCCTTTTGTTGCTCTTGCTATTCTTGTCAAGTCTCAGCTCATAATCATCCTTAGCCTTGCAAAGAATCCTTCTGCAATGGGCCCTCCTCCTCCCGGTATACCCTTTTTTGTCTATTTGCCCCAGTACCCATTTCCTATAGAGGTTCCTCTTTCGTCTAATCCTTCTAACCACCTACTTTTGCATCCATGGCGGTGCTCTCCTCTGCCTCCCCACCTTACAAGAGGTATAGTCAAGGCTTGCACCTCCAAAACCTCCCTTTTGAGTGCCATCCACCCCTCCTCAACTCACTTACCTTCCAGTAACCTATCCCAGGAGACTTTTCCCATTCTGGCCTTCAGTTGGCCAAAGTTGGCCCTCTTGAAATTTCAGCTTCCAAAGCTTGACCTGCTGCATGTTCCCAGTCCCCTGATCTCAAAGCAAAGGATGGAGTGATCACCCGCATCCAGAGCTCCCCTAATCTGTACTTCATCTATAAGCTCCTGTCTGTCGGTCAAGACCAAGTCAAGGATGTTTCTCCCCCCTCGTCGCCCCTCGGACCCTCTGTGTGAAAAACCCTTCCTCTATAGCTTCTAGGAAGTGACATGACCTGGCTGTCACCACTGAGTGAGTCTCCCAACTAATGTCTGGGAGATTGAAATCTCCCATAATTACTGTGTCTCTCCCCCAAGATATCCTTAGAATCTGGTCTGTCAGGACACCATCCAGGGTCTCAAGTTGACCTGGAGGGCGATAACATACCCCCACTGTCAGGCCTCTTTCCCTGTCAAAACCCCTAAGTTTCACCCAGACTGCCTCTACCAAATCCCCATCTGTGCTGCATTCTATCTCAGTGCATCCTATCCCTTCCCTGACCTATAAAGCCACAACCCCCACCTCTCTTTCCCTTCCTGTCCTTTCTAAAAAGGGGATACCCCTTTCAGTCTTGCCTTTCATCCCACCAAGTTTCTGTGATTCTCACCAGGACATACCCTCCTATTCCCAGGAAAGCTTCAAGCTCTTCCTGTTTATTACCCATGCTCCTTGCATTAGTTTACATGCACCTCAACTCCTTCCCACCACTTCCTTTCCTTGGAGTCCACAGCCTCCTATTTCCTCCCATCCTCCCTGATACCTGTCCCCTCTCTGTAGGAGCCCTGTCAGTCCCTGCAGTACCTCTAAAACCCTGCTCCCAGAGCCCTGATCCACTCCCCACACTTGTCCAGTGCAGACACGTTTCTGGGGAGCCCAACCCCCCCCCCCAGCTCAGTTTAAAGTCTTCTGGACAAAGCTCGCTAGAACATCTCCAAAGGACCTTTTCCTCATCCTCGTGAGGTGCAACCTATCCCTTGCCAGAAGTCGATTGGCAAGAAACCAGGTGCCGTGGTCGAGGAACCCGAAGCGTTCCTTCTGGCACCACACTCTAAGCCAGTCGTTCACCTTGGCGACCCTCCTGTCTCTGCCTGGCCCAAATCCCCAGACTGGTAAGATTGACGAGAAGGCCGCTTGGGCCTTTAGCTCCCTTCCCTAAGGCCTCAAAGTCCCTGGTGATCCCAACCAAACCCTGCCTGGCCTTTTAATTTGTTCCCACATGGATCACCAGGAGCAGCTGGTGACCCCCAGAGCAAACAAGACACTCCACTCTGTCCTTCACATGCCGGATGTGTGCGCCTGGCAGGCAGCAAACCTCCCTTGTCTCAAGGTTGGGGCGGCACTCTGCCACCTCAGTGCCCCTCAGTAGGGAGTCCCCAACAACAATCACCTGCCGCTGTGTCTTCCCAGTGGTGGTGGGTGGTCGTGCCCCGGCCCTTGCGTCTCCTGCAGCGGCCCCCTTGCCACTTGTGGTCCTAGGCTGGGGGTCCTGCTGGTCCCCCAAGGCCTCATCAGCCCCAGCCTCCCCAAGTGGAGAGAACCTGTTTCCCAGCTCCAGACTGGTGCCAGGAGAAGGAGGAGGCCGTGCTGGCCTCCTCCTCCTGTGGGTGACATACCTCCATGTCTCCGCGGCTGCTCTTCCCGTGGCCTCTCCCTCAACCCTCTGTCCAGAGGGGGGCTGCTCCCGGGGGGCCTGGAGAGCTCTCTCGGCCCTCAGGCACCTCACCTCCTCTTCTGGCAGGGTCACCATCTTTCACCGAGGGCAAGTGTATCCCTGCCTCTCCTGGGGGAGAAGGGTGAACATGTCGCAGCTTTTGCAGCAGACAGCAACACCCGTGACTCCCGCCAAGGCCATCTCCTGGTCTGCCATTGGGATCTTTTCCGAGACCTTACCTTGGTCCCCTGCCTTGTCTGTCCTGCAGTTCCCTTCACTCGCCCAGTTCTCCCAGACAAAAACTCACACGCACACACACAGAAGGATAACATAAAATTTAAATTGGAAGAAAAACAAAGCGAAGCACAGCACAGCACCAAAAAAAAAAAAAAACAACCAACCAAACAAAGGAAAACAAAGCAATTTAAAAAACCCAAAAATCTTCGGCATCCCAGGGAAGGGAGTCCCCAGACAGCCTGGGCCGCAGCTAAGGGACGCAGACAAGGGACAACACCAAGAGGCCAGAGCCAAAAGGGCTGGCAGTGGCTGAGCACGGCCTTATCAGCCCCTCAGGCCGGTGGCCCCGCCCCTCTGCTCCCTCTGGCCCCTCTAGCCTCTCTGGCCCTGCCCCTTCCTCTCTGCTGCTCCTGGCCCTCTGCTCCCCTGCCCAGCTCCTACCTTGCCTTCGCCAGTCCCCTGGCCACTCAGCACTCTCTCCCAGCCTGTGCCTCTGCTGCTCTGCTGCTCTGCCAAGAGGCCAGAGCCAAAAAGCAAGCCAAAGAGGCAAGAGCCAAAAATGAGAACACAGCCAGCTCTTTGTTTTAAGTGAGGAAGTCACAGAATAACTTCAACCTCTTCTGAAGTTGCTACACAGCCTCCACAGTCTACAATTAGTGCTGGATTTTGTGCTCTTCCTCTTTTTAAGGTTGATCTATTCAGCTTACATCCTGAAATTACCTGGGACTTGTAGGAGTCTCCTGCCCAAGCAACTGGCTAGATCCAAAGTGGCTTAGCTTCATTGGTGCTACAGACTCAGGTGCACCCAGACCTGTTTTGCACATTTTACATACATTGCCAATACATACATCTCTCTTTCAGCTGGCCTTCAGCATGCTGGAAAGCTAAGCCTTTTGCTTCATTTCTCTAATGTTACATACTGCTGCTATGTGAAGCAAACTATTTTTTCCTAGTTGTTATTCTGGGGAAGGCCCATAGCTATGTGGTCAGACTCATAATTTTCATTCAAAGGGTCCCAAACCCAATCCCCAGCATCCTCAAGTAGGGCTGACGAAGGCCTCTGCCTAAAACTCTGGAAAGCCTCTGCTACGGTATAGAAAATACTAAGCTAGATGGACCAATGGTCAGATTCCATATAAAACATCACCCTATAAAACATTTTATGGGTGTTGGCATCTTCTGTTGCTGTTGGCTCCCTTGGATGCTTTCAGAAGAAAGAATGAAAATGTTTCAATAAATAAATATGCCAATCTGTTTCCTGGCTTTCAGAGGACCAACATGGTAGAAAGCAGGAGAGGAGAGAGAAATGGTGCTCCTCAACAAACAAATTCATGTCTATAAACATAATTGCACTGAGCCCTTTTTGCTAAATCCAGTTCCCTGATGTAGTACTTGACAGAAGCCGGATGGACATGCATCAGAGGGTGGGCCCAGGACCTAGTGATTCAGCCAAGATTAAAGTTGCTAGGGGCCCTGGAAGTAATGTCAGGTTGTCTCTAAACAGAGTGGACTCTAGAGAAGACTTCCCAAAATCCTCTGTAACAAGGCAATGATCCCATGGCAGATAAGCAATGCATTTCCTTGGTGTGAGATGGGTTTTGTGGACACTCCAATGTTTGGGAGACCACTGACATTGGTGGATGTTCTCTTTCTCTCCATCTTTGGTGCAGACACCACTAGCTCAACTCCTGAGGAAGCAGGAGAGCTCGCTGGCCCACTTTGCTCTTCAAACCACTGGCTCCCTCCCAGCTCTAACCCTTGGGCTTCCAGCCACATCTGCAGCATCCTCCAGGGTATGTCTTAAGGGGACTCTGATGAGGGGAAAGAGGGGAAGACAAGAGCTTGGAGGAGGCAAGTGACACTCCATCCTGAAGATTTTAGACTTACAAAAACGTGCTTCTTACGTTTTTCTAAGGGAGGGTCTCCTTGGATAGAACCAAGATGGCCTTTCCCAACCTGGCAACTTTTAGATGTTTTGGACTACAACTTCCTCATCACTGCCATTGCCCTTGGTGGCTGATGGGAGTCCTAGTCTCAAACAATTAGAGGGCACTAGGATGGGAAAGCCTGTCCTGGGACAACTGGAAGAGCAACCATAGTGATAGACAAAATAGCAAGAGCCAATGAAATCCAAAGCTGGGAACACATCACTATCTTTGGGGGAGGGTGTACCCATTTTCTGTATGACAGCCATGGACATCTCTCTTATTCCACTGCTGCTTTCACATTTGTCTTGCAACATGGGATCTCACACTTTGAGCTGGGCTTCATTGGAGGCAGGAGGCATTGGTACCTAAAGCAAAGATGCAAAACCTCAGGCCTGGGGGCCAGTCACAGCCCTCCAAGATTCCCAATCCAGGCATCTCAAGTCCCTTTCCTTGAACAACCCATCATTTCATGATTCCCAGGCTTTTGGGCACTTCCCCCTCCACACACACATTTGGAAAGTTCGAAAGGCCTCTCCTAAATCTTTGTGTCTGGCAGGAACAGCCTTGAGCTGCCATGCAGCCCCCTCCTGGAATGTGGCCCCCAGGAGCTTCTTTGAGGTAGAATTCAGCCTTGAGGGGGAAAAAAGTACAGTGGTACCTCAGCTCACAAACGCCTTGGTTCATGACCAAATCGGGTTGTGAACAAAAATTCCATGAAAATTTTGTCATGGGTCGCAAACTCCGCATTGGGTGGCAACCAAGATTGCAGTCATCTCCCCACCCCCACAAGTGGGGAGATGACCATAATTGCAGTTGCATTCGTGCACGGAAGATGTGCGTGATCACGGGTGCGCTCCTGCAGGAAAGACAGGCACAATCTCAGCCATTCCCCGCCATCCCAACCAGCATGATTGCAGCCATCTCCCCACCCCCCAGCTGAGATCACGCCCATCTCTCCCTTCCCCAGCGCGCCCAATTCGCACCCATCTCTCCCGTCCCCAGCGCCCCGTTCATGCCCGTCTCTCCATCCCCCAGCACGCCATTTGCGCCCATCTCTCCCTCCCGCAGTGTGCCCGTGATCGCACCCGTCTCTCCCCCCCACCCCCTAGCACACCGGGATGACAGGCACATGCAGGGATGACAGGCACGATCTCAGTTGTGCTGGGGGGGGGGGGGGGGGGGGGGGGGGGGCTCCCGTTTGGGCGGGGGGGGGGGGGGGGGGAGATGGCCACACTTGTGCTTGGGGTGGGGGGGCAGATGGCCACGATCTTTGTTGTTCTTTGTCACTTTGCTTCACATTTTTCTGATTTAAAAAATGGTTCCAGAATGGATTAAAACTTATTTACATTGAACCTTATGGGGAAATTTAACTTGGGTCACGACCAATTTGGGCACGACTAGAGTCCTGGAATGGATTAAGTTCGTGAGCCAAGGTTTATCATTGAAGGAGAAGGAAGATTCTGACTTCTATCAAATTTGGGACTCTTTTTATTATTGGCTAGAGAAATTAGACTTCAAACAGATTTAAATATGTTTTTAAGTTATCATAAATGGAAAAAGAAGGGTGTGGGGGCTGACCCAGAGGGCTCGATGTTTTTGATGATGGATGTTGTTTTTCGTTTTTTTTTAAGGATTATAATTTCAAATAAAACTTATTCAAAAAAAAAGTTTGTGAGCCAAGGTACAACTGCCCTACTGTGAAAAATGCACCTTGCTGGATTGGGTGCAGCTGTCTTCAAGATAGCTGGCAACTAACAGGCTTTTGGAGGTCCACCTGAAATTGCTTCATGGTGCACTGATAGAATTGCACTCTGTCTCTTTTCCTGACCCCTGATCTAAACTCCATATAGATATTTTTTGAAGGTATGAGGAGATAGATAGGGCAGGACCCGGGGAGGTGTCCTTCATCCAGTCTCCCCATTATCTCTCTGCAGGGCGACGGAGATCCCAGGACCCTCCCAAGTCTTGCGCACAAGGTGCCTGTCTTGACTGGCACTCACACACCCATGTTCCTGCCAACCAGCCTGGAGCAACATGAGCCTGGAAGCCCCCTATCCACTCGGCTGCCATCTGTTATTATCCTGGAGCCCCCCCTGACCCACACTCCTCTGGTGACTGGTGCGTGCCATCCTTTCAGACTGGGAAGACGGTGCAGTGAAGAGGCAGACTTAAAAGAAGCAGGGAGTGCATTCACTTTGACCAGATGGGAGTGGACCTTGGACACTCCGAGTTGGGGCCACTGGGGTAGAACAAAAGAGAAGAACAGTCATCAGAGCATGGCATGATGGGAGTTGTAGTGTTTGTGAAGATGACAGGCTTCGAGGTAGGATAACATTACTTAGAGAAGAGGATGGTGTTTGCTGGCATTCTGGGAACCCTTTCTCTGCTGATCTCTCTGGACAGGAAGCTGTTCTGTAGGGGGAGAGGTACGCTGGGAGAGCATGGAGCCAGCTGTGGTCTGGTAACTTTCACCCCCAAACGACCCATTTATGAGCATCACTAGCAAGACACTTGTGTGATGAACAAGGAGGGCTGGACAAAAGCTACACCACAAATGTCACAGAAGAGTGCTTTGGGCTAAAATACTGTCCATCAAAAGATGTTCCTTGGCTTCCTAATTCATACCTCTCCACAAACATGGACAGTAACCATGATGCAGTGCCCTGAGCCAGAGAGATTGCACAAAAATTAACTTTGCTAGCTCCCACAAAGCATATTACTGGACATGGCAGTCGCAGGAGGAGGAGGAATTCTGTTCCTTCCACTCCGTCCCTCTGCTCTAGAAAAGAACAGAGTGAGGGCAAGAGGCTTTCATCATGGAGGTGTTTCCAGATGACCCTTGCACTGCTTCAGGACTGCCGCTTCGGCTCACCACCTTTGCTTCCCCCTGCTGGGCTGAGCTGGCTCTGGTTGTACCTTACACGCGAGTTTGTTCCCCCGTCTGCTGGCCCCTTGGCTCCTTCTTCCATAAATAGCATTGGGCTCTCTGCACTGGTGAGTTTCATTCAATGGACGTTCGGAGGTGACATAATGCAGGCGTGCACCAACTTCTGATCCACCCAGCCAAGCACAGCCCAGCAGCTTTGTGTGGCCACCCACCAGGATCTTCATTTAAAAAAAAAAAGAGAGAGACATTAGATTTGTGTCTTCTCTAAGTCCTGTCTGGGGTTTGCATTTAAGCAAATCAGGAGAGTAGTCAAACCCCAATCAGGTCAAAATAGGGGAGTAGACAAAGTTTGCTCCAGAAGTTTTGCACTACAACTCTCATCAGCCCCAGTCAGCATGGAGCAATGGGCAATTTTAGCACAAGGCTCCTACATGCTTACTGCAATGTTTATGATTACTTGTATTTAAACTAGCATGTCCCAACAGCCCAGATGTTGTTAGACTTCCACTCCCAACAATCTGATCATTAGTTTAGCTGTGTATGAGGATGGGATTTGTAGTCCGGCAACACCCAGGGAACCAAGCCTAGTGTAAAATGATTTTTTAAATCTTTTTCCCAGTTTGTCATGATTGCTTGTTTAGAGGGTCAACAAGCTTTTAATTGATCTGTGAGGGTGATTAGCTGTGTAATACTATACTTTTCTGCTCATATTTAAGTCCCTTTGAGTCCAGGGAGCTTATTTCCAAGTAAGTGTGAATAGGATTGCAGCTTAAGGATACAATTTGAAGCACCCACTTACCTATAATTAGGCATCACTGAATCCAGTGGGGCTTACTTCTGAATAAACATGTATAGGATTGTAGCCCTATTTTTTCTGCTTTATAATTTGCTGGGTGTGTTTCCCGCCTCCTGGGAGGGGGCCCAGAAGCCTCTTTGGTGCTTTCCATTCCCAGCCTCATGCACTTGCTCTCTCCCCTCACAGTGCCAGGGCTGGGTGCCATCCCCCTTCACTTCAGCCACTCGGTGCTTCCACCAGAGAGGCTGTCAATGCCTGCGCTCCACAAGCCCTTGGGGCGGACCCGCTCAGAGCCCCTGCCATCCAGCCCCCAAGCGGTGCAGCAACAGCTGGTCTACCAGCAGCAGCAGGCCCTCTTCCTTGAACGGCTGAAGCAGCAGACACAGCTCGGCAAGGTAGGGACTGCCGGGCTCCTGGGCAGAACACGGCCTCTGGCCAGCGTTGGGTGGGTGCTGGTGGGGGGCAGTGCAGAGCCATGGGGGTACAGCCGGGACAGGCATCTCCTGCAGGTATCATTTGGCCCACAGGTATAATCGGGCATACAAGAGGCAGGGGGAGGAGAGGAGGAAAGGAACCTTCAGTGATTCCCCCTATGTGGTGGCCAGGTGGCAAGTGAAGTCAGGGGTCAAGACCTTGCCCAATAGCCTAATTTGGCCCATGGGGGACTGGTGGGTACACAAAACTAGGGACCTACCCATGGGATGCACTGTAGCCAGTGTGGCCTAGCAGTTAGAGTACAGGGCTGGGGGGCTGGGGTTCAAGAAATGCACATTCACATCCCCAATTGGCCGTGAAGCTGATTGGGTGATTTTGGGCCAGTCGCTCCCTCTCAGCCTAGCCTACCCCACAGGGTTTTTGTTACGCTGATAAAATGGAGAGGAGGAGAACCTTGAGTTCTCCTTGGGTTCCTTGAAAAAGGAAGAAAAGTGGGATATCAGTGTAATTTAATAATCACGACCACCACCACCTCCACAGCCCTGAATTTCTCTGGCTGCGCTTTATTGAGAAGTAAGCTTTTTAAGAGAGTTCACCTGATAATTCAATGATACAAGATGCATTTGAGATTTAGGACCCTCCTCCTGGGACCAGCAGGCACATGATAAGTTTTGTGGAAGATGACACTCTGTGCAAATTGTCTTCATGTACAAATCCCAGTCATGAAGCACAGCTTTTCCAGGTGTACCAGTGTGATGATTTAGCCTGCACAGCCCTCTGTTGCTCAAGCTCTCCCACCTACCCTCCATCTTCCTCTCATAGCGCATGTCCAAGTCCAGAGAGAAGCCTCGGCTGCAGCAGATCCCCTCTTCCGAGGACATGGAGGCAGAGGTAGGAGGAGATCCCAGTGGCCTGCCCCAGGGCCAGGTGGAGCCTTCACCAGCAGGGGGCAGCAGCAAAGAGAGAGAAAGGAGCGCCAGGTTGGGTCAGCCTCAAGAGGAGCATGTCCTTCAACAGGTATAGGAAGGGGATACCTGCCACTCCAGGCTGGCAGCCCTCTTGCAGAGATCAATATATATATAAAGTATGTCCCTTGAAAATGTGCCTTCTTTCTGCTCTTAAATACATGTGCACCCAGGCGAATGATGATGATTGCTGGATGATGGAGTGGGGGGTAAAGCTGGGTGGGAAATAATTCATAGCAGAATTGGGATCAAATGATTGGCATCCAAGAAGACCATCAGTGAGACATCAGTGCCAAAGGAAGCAGTGCTGCTGGGGCAAAATCAGTCACAAATTTGGTGGAGGGGTCATGGGAGCGCATGCATCCGCAGGCCAGAGGTGATACACCTCTGTTTCATCAAACCCTGAGAATTATTACCAGGTAAATAGCACATAAGATTGCACTTTCTCATGCACACATGTGCGGCAGCAAACAAGCTCTACTATGGAACCTGTTTGTGAATCTCCCAGGAACGTGTATGGCAGGGCACCTCCAAGAGTGAAACTTGCACTCCCAACTTTGGGAACCTGCAAAGACCCCTTGGGACAGCTTTTCCCACTCTTGGGTCTCCAGTTGGTCGCAGACTATACCAGTGGCCAGCCTCACCAGCCAGGATGGCCCATGGCTGATGGGAGTTGCATTCACATCACTGCTGGAGACCCAGGGTTGGGAGAAATAGCACTTCCATTTGCAAGGTCTGCCACAGGAGTGGATTTAGAAGCTGCCTTTTGATCTGGCCACATACAGTGCTTGGTTGCATAGCCAGAAGTGTGGCTTCTAGATCAAGAGAGGTATTACTACCACTCTATACGACTCTGGTGCACCGCAGCTGGAGTATTGTGCTCAGTTTTGGGCTCCTCATTACAGTAAGGATATAGCCAGGTTTGAGTCAGTGCAGCGTAGGGCCACAAGGTTGGTGGCTGGTTTGCAGGGGATGCCGTATGAAGCGAGACTGAGGGAACTGGGTCTCTTCAGCCTGGAGAAGAGGAGACTCAGAGGGGATATGTTGGCGTCATACAGATATGTGAGGGGATGTCACACGGAGATGGGTAGAGACCTGTTCTCCCCAGCAGGGGAGGGCGGGATGTGCTCCAGTGGAGCCAAGCTCAAGGAACCAAGGTTCAATTTGGATGCCAGGAAGTACTTCCTGACAGTTAGGACCCCGGGGTTATGGAATGGGCTCCACGGGAGGTGATTGAGGCCCCATCGGTGAGGGTGTTCAAGGATAGGCTGGACATGCATATGGTAGGCATGTCATGAGTGGAGCCAGCTGGAGCCGGGGGTCAGACTAGATGGCCCGGGATGCCCCTTCTGACTCACTCAGTTACTATGTTTTTTTTTTTTCTCATCACATTGCAAGATTTGTATTTTATTGTACTTCTTTTATGTTTCATTTTTCTTGCTTTTTCTGTTCCTCCCTTTCTCAAACTGTACGCTTCTGGGAAGTCATAGTCAGCCGCTACTTCATGCATGCACTAGAGGGCAGCATGTCTCAACTTTCAGACTCAGGGCTTCAACTGGCTTCGAAGTGAGGAAGTGTGCTGGGAAAAGAGCAGCCCCCAGTCGAGCTTTGAGAGGAAGTGGCGACTGGACAGGGTTCCCGGTGTGATACAGGGTCCCTCCTCATTTCATCCACAGGCGCAATATGTCTGGGAACAGCAGCAACGCCTGTTGCAGCAGCAGCAACTCCTGCGGAGGCAGCCTCCAACAGATTCCCTGCTGATCCCGGCAGTGCGCGGCAGCCACCGACCACTCTCCAGAGCTCATTCATCCCCCGCCCCAGCCACTGCATCCCTACCAAGCCAGGACATGTCTTCCAAGGTGATCCCACTGCCTGTTCAAGAGCAGTCCAGCAAGCCCCGCTTCACCACAGGTGAGATACACGCTCTTCTCTTTCCTTGGTACACAGGCCTTTCTGATCCCCTGTGACAGATACTGAGTGCAAAATTGCACTTTGCAACAAAGAAGGGATTTCCACCAGAAATGGCAGCTCTGTGTCAAGTTCTCTTTTCCCCACTACCTGTAGTAAAACTTATGCTTTAGGTCCATATGCTGTGCTGTTATCATTCCTACTCCCATGTCACTGGCTCCTGCTGATAGAAGGCAAAAAAAATGCATTGACACCATGCAGGACATGGGTTACAGTTTGCTGCACGTTATAGAGCAGAACAAGTGCCAGTTGTTCACAATTTCCAGTGAAAACAGCAGTTACAATTCATTGTGGTGCATTGCTTTATTCTCACCATCCTTCAGTCTCAAAGCACAGTGTCAATAGAGAACTGACTCTTAGAACCTTCCTTTGGATCATCTAGTTCAGGGATGGACAAAATGTTGCTCTCCACGTCTCTAGATTGTAGTTCCCATGATCCCTCACTGTTGGGTTTGCTGACTAGGGCTGATGGGATTTATAGGCCAAAATATTTGGGGACCTGCAAGTTGCCCGCTCAGTCTACTTTTTTCTGCAGGTACAGCAAATGGGTTCTTTTGCTTATGTGCTGCTGCAGCTTTCCTCAACCTGGTACCCTCCAGATGTTTTGGACTGAAACTCCCATCACCCTTACATGGCGTGGCCAGGGGCAGGAATGCTGCAAATTGTAGTCCAAAACATCTGGAGGGCATCAAGTTGGGAAAGAATGACCTACTGGGAGTTGTGGAAAGGGGAAAAGAAATAGCAGTGATCTTTCATGCATAACCAGCTGTCTTCACATGGTTTATATCGCTTATATATTTCAAATGTTTGATCCACTGTCTTTCCCAGGCTCAGCATGGTTTGTATTAAAAATGCAATAAAACAATCTGAAACCATAGTTAAACAAAACCAGTCAAAGCAAGTACATGAAGCAACAAACTTGGCAGGCCAGAACCAAAATAAAAATAGCTATTGGGAGCAGCTCCGTTTCACAGGAGTGAAGTGGGTGTTTCTTGCAGCCCTTGCAGAGAAAGCAGGAGGGAGTCTGGGCCCCTCTAGGTGTGCCATTCTGAAGCACAGATACCCTGCTGCTGGCTCCCAGTGCTCTGTTCTCACCTAAGGAGCTTGAATGGCTAAGACCAAAAAATTAGCAGTCACGCTGAAATCCACTGGTGTGCACTGAACCTGTCAGCTGGAGTCCCTAGATGGGTCGTGTGGGTCGTATCTGGCTGGTCCCTTGGCACAATGATGAAGAATAGGACTAGGAGGAGCTGGAGAAAAAGAGAAAGCGTTCTTGTAGTGATGGGTGTTGAAGCAAACAGATTGAGCCTAGCATGGGGCAGGGCAGCTTCTCACCATGGGCACATTCCTAGGCCCCAGCCAAAAGCCCTCTTCTGCCTATTCAAGGTGCATTGTCCTTGGCGTGCACATGACTCAGAGCTCTTTTTTCCCTTCTCTTCTGAGCCAGGTGAAGCTGTGGGGATGGACCAGGACAGGGTCACCACCTAATGGTCAGTCCAGAAAAAGACCAGAGGCACTACTTATTGGGTAGTGCTGAATTGCATGGCTGGGAGGAATGATTTGTTCTGGAGGGGGTGGTGCCTCCTTAAGAGATCAGATGCCTCATTTGAGCAGAGCTGCTGGATTTGTCACTGTTACTAGATGCACAGGTGGCTTCTGGCCTCAGAGCATCATTTAGCACAGCAGTTCTCAACCTTTTCTGTGCCCCACACTCCTGGAAAATGTTTACTTTATGTTTGCATACCCTACATGAGTCATTTCACATTTGAAGATTTGATTTGATTTGATTTAAACATTTCTATGCTGTCCTTTGCAACAAGCCTCAGGACGGCTTACAAAGATAAAAATGGAAATATAAAATACAATTAAACATTCAATAATAATATGGCATAAACAATCATATTGTTATGATATAATATTTTATATTACAATAACTATATTATTATAAAAATGAGAAGTCCCATTTCTAATTTTTGAACCACAAATTGAGCTTCATTTGGACAACTAACATTTTTTGGCATTTTCATTATATAAGATCTACCATTATAATCTCTCCAGTGGGACCTCAGTTCTTGTACCTAATAGTGGTTTTATGTTTCATCTCTCTGTGCTGTATCAATACACAATATTTGGTTTTTGCTGTAATGGATTTTATTCTAATATTATCTTTTTCTCATGTTGTTGTTATGCTTTAAATTGGACTGTACCACACCTAGGAAAATCTATTTATGAGGCATTACATAGAGAGAGAGAGAGTATGGTGTAGTGGTTAAAAACACAGGGCTAGGGCTCAGGCAACCTGGGTTCTAGTCCCTGTTTGGCCATGTAGCCAACTGGGTGACTTTGGGCCAGTCACAGACTCTCAGTCCAACCTACCTCTCAGGATTGTTGTTGTGGGGATAAAATTGAGAGCAGGAGGAGGAAAATGATATAAGCTGCTTTGAGTTCTTTATAAGAAAAAAGGTAGGATATAAGTCTAATAAAGCATTATCATCATCATCATCATCATCATCATCATCATATAATGAATACATAAATGAACTCATTCATGGGCAGTTAAAATTATAGAAATAATGCAAATAATGCATGATACACCCTGGACTGTGACACTTCAGACAGCAAATGAGAACCTTGTGTTGTAACTGCTGGCCAGGTTTGTTCTCTTTGGTTTCTTTTATTTTTTAATTAATTTTTACCAAAAAATACAATGTAGCTAAAATACAATATGGCTAAAAGAAAACATACAATTAAAATAATGATATAATAAAATGGTGCATCCCACCACCGGAACTATTAGATACATACCCAATCATTTGCTTTTTCAAGAAGCTCCATCCCCCTTCCAAAATTGCAATGACTCCTATAGAGATTCGAATCCTTTCCATTTTATTAGCACATAATAAATGGTCTCCAAATATCCATCATCATCATTTATATAGCCTTTTCATTTTAATATCACAAGTTAATTTATCATTAATAGCTAGATTCCAGACTTCTTTGTACCAATCACTCAATTATTAATCATATTTTATTTTCCAATTCTTTGCTATAATTAATCTTGTAACTGCTAATAAATTTGTTCTTAATTCTTTAATATTCATTCTCCATTGTTCTCTATCAAGTATTGACAATAATGTGATTTCAGGATTTACTTAAATAGTTACATATTTTACTGCTTTCTTTAAAAACCTGTTTCCAAAATGTCATTATATAGTCATATTCTCACCACATACAGACTCGGGGTTTCTTTTTTAAAGCCTCCTTGTATGTGAAAGGCTTGTTCATCAGGGAGACTTAATTTTGTTTGATTGGCTTTCTTATCCTAAAGTGGATATGCCCCAACTTCCACAGAAATGCTCTCAGGTGGACTTGCAAGAAAATGATACAACCCATCAGTCATGCACATCTGCCAACATTTCGCTTAAACAAGCAAGTGCCTGTATATGCAATGGCTCAGCTGCAGGCTGTACCACATATAGGTGGGTCTGTGCCGCATGCTGATTCTACACATTGGCTCTGTGTATTCAAGGAACCCTCGATAAAGTTAGAGATTTGCAAGTGACTCGAGTGCCTATTGTTGTTTCATTGCAGGGATTGTGTATGATTCTGTCATGCTGAAACACCAGTGCTCATGCGGGGACAACAGCAATCACCCTGAGCATGCTGGTCGCATCCAGAGCATCTGGTCCCGTCTGCAGGAGCGCGGCCTACGCAGCCAGTGTGAGGTAGGGGGCAGTACAGACCAAGTGCAAAGATGAATGGGTTTTCTTTGCCGCTCATTGTTCAGCATCAGATTTTAATAAGGAATCTAGGGATACAGTTACTTAATTTGTCTTAAGTAGTTTTGCTTCCTTGATTTTTTCTTCCAGCTAATTTGGAAATCTTTTTTCCTTCATTTTTATTGATGCATGGAAGGAAGTAGCAAAGACAAGGGAAAATGGTAATTTTCTGCAAGCTGGAAACTTGGGTCTTTGGGGATGTAAATGTATACCTTCTGAGAGCACTATCAATACTTCAGGTTCTGTATAGGCAACAGTGAGTCTTTTGCTTTCCTAACTTGGAATGAGGGAGCAGCTGTTATAATCTGAGCCAGTAGGAAATTTAAGCCATTCATGATCTGCAGCCAGGCAAGCACCACCGATTGCCCCGTGCACTTTCAGAGGGTTGTAGCTGATCACAGTTCAAATAACAGAGAAAAATCTGGAGGCTTCTCTCCCTGCCACCCGATTACCCCTCAGTATACTGAAGAGTCAACCCACTTTGCAGTTTAAATTTGAAAGCTGAGCAGAATAGCTTCTTGCCTCTCCAGCCATGAACACCGCCACAGCAGAAACATTGGCTGTGTGCGGGGCGCTTCCCTCTTGACTTCATAGGGCTCCATTAGATGATGGTCCCAGCAGATGCATGCCATTTGGAAGACTTTCCAGTAATCTTTTCATGCAGCAGCCATGCACTGTGCAAGTCTGGTGGACCAAAAGGAACAAGCCAGGCAAAAATGTGACCCTCAGCTTAACTAGCTGCATTTTTGGTCCTGCAAACATAGATAGGTTTTATGTCAACGATAACTAATGTTGCCAACTGTGTACTGGGCACTGCAAACAGTTATGCTTCTCTCCATGCTGCCAGAGCTTCACCTGCTGATTTCTGTGCATCATGCTCCTGTGAAAGGCTCAGGAGAAGGCCAGGTCAGTTGCTTTTAGGTCAGGTGGCTAACTTCCAGTGTAACTATCATGGCGTCTTCCAGAAAATCCTGGGAACTGTAGTTTGGAGTGGTACTGAGGAGTCTTTAATAGAAATCCTCTGCTCCCCTCACAGAACCACCTCTCAACATTCTTTAGGGAGAGCAAATGATTAAAACAGCAGCTTTCCTTTGGTGCAAATACACCTCCATCAAACAATAGAACTGTGAGCTTTTGTTCACTTGAAACTGCTATAAAATAGGATAGGTGGAAAAGCAAGTTGCAAAAGTTGGAGCCTATGTCCATCCTGAATCTGCCATGTCCTTCTGTAGCCCTCTAACAAGAGGGACAAAAGGAACAGGGAGATGACTTAATGTTAGGCGGTAGAGGCCATTTGGAGCCCAAATTAAGAACCACTTCTCTGAAGGAACCCAATCCAAGACAAAGGCAGAAACTGCCCGTTCTCTGCAGAGAGCCCTTGTGCAGCCCTGCCCCTTAGCCGAGTTCCTCTGCCCTCCTCCCCGTCGTGTGGATTCCCGCCAGTGCCGATGGATGCACTTTAAAAACAATGCATTTTTCCACAGTTCAAGTGTTTGTTCCCCAGTGTGCACATAAAATAATTATGAGTGCCAGACACTGGCCTTGTTAATCCAAAGGCTGTTGACTCACTGAGCAACAAACATTCTCATACCCTGTAAATCCTGCCGTGCAAGTCAACGCTGCATTGTCTGAGGACGCCCATTTTGCAGATGCCGGACAGATGTGTCTTTCATCAAAGTGTGTACATATCTTGTGAAATTTATGAATGATAAATTTCTTTTAGAACAATTAGATAACCTCATTCTATAGGGTTATTTTTGTTTTTTTTTTAAACCCATCCTCTGCTCTCTTGCCAGTAAATCCAAGGCAGGCTTTAGAATCCCCGCCACCACCACCCCAGTACTCCAAAAGATTGGCCAAGCAGACTGGATGCATCCACCAAGCATGATCCCCCCCCCCCCCCGCAGCCCCCAGGACTGCATAAAGCAGTTTCTAGCAGGTACCTAAAACCTGTTGCACATATTTTTTCAGTCAGAAAACAAAAACGTAGTCTATGCTGCCCATGATTACTGGGCAAGGACAATGTGTTTCTCCAGTCTGTAACACCAGGAAGAAAAATTAGAAATGTTCAGGTGTGGTGGCACTGGATTTGAAGAAAAGCAGGACTACGTAAGGACTCTTCTTGGAGGGGACACACACTAATGACAGGGCTGGCTGAAATACTTTGGGTCAGTGCTCACATGCAGCCCTTCTCATTTTAATAATCCTTGCCTGGGAAAATTTCCCAGTAGGCTGAGTTCTGCAAGCTAGTGCCATCTGGTCTTCCACGCTGCCCACAGTTAGTGGCACCCCAGGTGTGCTTCCTTGGATGGCCCCTGTGCCCCTTTTCATGGTACAGCCACTGGGGAGAGGAGATAAAGCAGCCTGGAAGGAGCCTTAGCAAGGCAGGGCACTACAAAACAGCCCCAAAATCAGGCCAAGGCACTGATAGATGGAGACCCAATCCCTAATCATGTTTCATTCTCTTGGCATGTGTAGCACAAGTCAACCTGTGCATGCCCACACACAGCCCCTCATGTCCTCAGTCAGCTTCCTAGAACACTCACGGATGCCCATCGAGGCCTGCCATGATAATAGGGAAGCCTGGCATCTGTGCCTTGACTCTCCCGACTGACGCAGGCTCTGTCTCTCTGCCAGTGTCTCCGGGGACGCAAGGCCACTTTGGAGGAGCTGCAGTCGGTTCACGCTGAGCGGCACGTGCTGCTTTACGGCACCAACCCCCTCAGCCGCCTGAAGCTGGACAATGGCAAACTAGCAGGTAGGAGCAAGGCGGTGGCAGCCGTCTCCACCATCTGGCACTGAGAGGAGCCACACAGGAAAACGGGCCTGTGTTAACACATGTCTTCCCATCTGGAGACTGGGCACAATTTTCCCTGATTCACTGGTAACCCATTTGGTCCTGCCAGGGATGCCCCAGTGATAATCACCCTCCCACAGACCCAAGATTGACAGATGGGGAGATGTCTCATGCTCAGAATGAGACCTCTGGAATGTGGAGCATCTGGCTGGGCTAATCCAAGAAGGGCTTCTAATATTAGAGTGGATAAAGGCACTTTGCAGAGCGCCGGCCTCATCTCATGGAAGTTGCCCATCTGACCACAGAGCCTTCCTGGATTCCTCCGGTGAGAGGGACTTGGCCTCTAAGTTCCAGCTCCAGGAGTAACCCCCAACAGTACCTGCAGCATGCAATGCAGGTGAGCGGTCCACCTGGGTGATAGCATTGCCAGTGACTTGGGGAGGCCACCGTGCAAGCAAAGCATCAGGGGCTGAAGCAGCAGCCAGAGAAATGCTCTTCTGACCCAGGTCCAGCTAGGGCAGGATTGCCCAGCATGTGCCCTCTCCCCAATGGCTTTGTATACTGCAGGTTGTCCCTCCTTACATTGGGTTTTCCTTCCCTGTTAGAGGGCCACTTTTGAGCATCCATTCAAAGCATCCTTTGAAGGTTGATGCTGTTAAGAACTGTGGATGGTCTCCAGTGTTCTTTCAATGGGTCTCCCCTAAGTAGGATTAACACTGGATAAATGGAACCCAGTGTTCTCTCATTGAGAGGTCCTTGGGGCATGGTGGCCACTGATAGCTTCCCACCACCCCCTTCCATGTCTCTCCTTACCCTTTATATTTCCAGCAGTCATCCGTCCTGCAATGCGTACACAGAAACTCTGTTCTCTTTGCTCCCGACTTCTGCATTCGCAGAGGGGGAGAGAGGGGGGGAGAACTTGCTCTCTCCTCCCTTTTCCAGGCAACATATCTGTATGACTAAGTAAAGCTCATTTTAACTGTCCTGATCTCCCTTGAAGTCTCCTGGGAAGTACATTGTTAGGAAGATGCTGTGCCAGGCTTTCCTAACATGGTGTCCTCCAGACGTTTTAAGCTACAATCCCATAATCCCTGGTCATTGACTGTGCTGACTGAGGCTGCTGGGAACTGTAGTCTGAAAGTTCAGAAGGGTACCAGCTGGGGAAGAGTGTGCTGAGGCTTCTCTGCTTTGTTGCTTTCACTGGACTAGAGTCCTTTAAGGAGATGTCTCTACAGTTAAATTGGATTATGCTTTGTAATGTAGCTGTGCATGCCATCTGTGCCACTTCTGTGCACTGAGCTACGCCCAGCTCACTTTTCTCCCTCCCTCCCTTCCTCACAGGAATCCTGTCCCAGAGGTTGTTTGTCATGCTGCCCTGTGGTGGAGTTGGGGTAAGTGTCTTCTCTGCCAAGGTTGGATTGTTCCCATCAAAGATGCCCTCCAAACCTTATCTCCCAGCCTGGTGCTGTGGGGCACATTTTGGACTCCAGCCCTCTTCAGCCCCAGCCAGCGTGCCCAGTGGTTGGGGTGCTGGGAGTTGTCGTCCCAAGCAACTGGGAGGCACCTGGTTGTGGATGGTTGTTCCACAGCCACAAGCTTTTGATTGCAAAGTCAGCAGGGGTGCCTGGCTGGTGACAGGTGGAGGGAGTGCCCCAGTGCAAGGCAGAGCATGGGATGGATTAACTTTTAGGGTCACAGGATTGCAGTTCTTTGGACTGCTTTCCACCTGCAGTGGTGCCCAGTGGTCCAAACCAGGCCTAGAGAGCCTGAGCCATTACAGGCAAGAGTGAGGTGGGATAAGCAGGCCAGGGCAAGCCTTTAGCCTCCCTCAAGAGGATCCCAGATGTTTTCCTCTAGGGCTACAGAGGATCCTGGAGTGCCTTCTTCTGCCAAAGATGCCAGGCGACTTTCAAGCATGTTTCCAAGTTTCCCTGGTGCTTCTCATGAGCAGACCCTTCTTTTTGAGGATGCCTCTTCTCACAGGCTGCCCTTTACTTGTGAGGAGGCCCCTCTCAGGGTCCAGGCAGCAGGTTAAGCCCACTTGGCTCCTGCTTCCACAGCAGCCCGGTGCCTTCTCTGTGGTGCTTCTTTCTGCTGAACCTTCTCTCTCTCTTCCTCCCTCTCCCTGTCGTAAATGGTCCTCCAGTCTTTGGGGGTGCTGGTGAAGTGGAGGTTACCCACAAACTCTCACATAAGGGGTGGGATCCAGACTTAGTCATAGAATAGACTCACTAAAATCACCAGAACTTAAGTTAAGCACGCCTTACTTGTCCTATTGATTTAAATGGGTTCACTTTCACCAACTCTGGGTCCAGCCCAGGGATTCCACTCCACCCAGAATATGCACAATAACCTGGCAGTATCTCTTGGCAGTTAGAGCAGGTTCTGGCAAGCCCTTGGGTCACTAGTGGGGGACCCTCCCTCTACCACACCTCCTATTATCCTTGGCAATTGGCCACATTGGCTGGCCCTGATGGAAATTAAACACAATCAATTTGGGGATGGGAGGGCCATCCCTGACTTCCCCTGTGCAAGGACCCAGCACAGAGGGGGAGTTCCCTGTTGCCCTGTGAGCTGAATGGAATCCCTGATGACAGTGGAACCAGGTGGGAGCCTCTGTACACCTGAGACCTTGGTATGGCCACCATTTCCAAACCATTTCCAGAGCTTACATATGGCCTTAATATCTACTAGACCTAGAAACTCTACCCAGAGGTTTTGGTTCAATCTTTGTTTCAAAACCCCACAAAACTTTAGTTCAGCCAAAAGAAATCAAGGTCAGAAGAAGCCTGTCCTAGACAAGGTCACAGAGCAGTCTCACTTTTCTTCAACACATCTTTTCCCCCAACCCTTAAAGGCCTAGTTCCCTGAAGCCTAGTTCTCTGAGGCCTCACTCAGTTACTGCTTCTAATTCAAATGCACATCTAGCAATATCATCTTTTTCTTCTCTTTTCAATTATAATAATGATGATAGTGATGATAAATGTATACTGTCCATAGCCAAAGCTCTCTGGACAGTTCACAACTATTCAGTCATCCATCTGGATTTCATCCAGGCCCAAGCTTACTTTGCTTCCAAGATTAGGCAGGATCAGGCACTGCAGGCTATATGGAAGTTGCATGGGCATGGGGTGCCCATCCAGATGCAGATCCAGGCCCTAATATGTGGAACGGGCAGTGAGGATTTAGGGCTCATATTGGGGCCTGTGCACATTTGCTGCTCAATATGCCTTTAAAGTTTTTGGGGGCACTCACCTGCCTGGGTGACCCTGTACTAGCATGTATCCCTTCAGTCCATAGCTGAGGCCTCTTGTTGCTGCTTCATGTAACTGTTGTCGTAATAAATGGGATGCCAAGAAGAGGAATTTGGATTGGGCTTCACCCTGACATCCAGTCTTCTGTGTTAGACAAATCTTATTTTGTTTGCATAGGGAGGAACATTTTAACACTCTAAAGCTGGCAGAGGCTTTCTTGTATCCCAAGTGTCCAGAAAGCACTCATTAGGGTGATGGGCCATGAGATTACCCACCCAACCACCTGCCTTTCCTGATCACTGGAATTTCCTCTTAAGATACCTCCTTGCTGAGCTTGATTTTAGAACCATAACACCTGTGGGGTGGCAATAGGGCTAGGTTGGGGGAGTCTCCCCAGCCCCTCCTCCTCTCTGTCTTGGTGTCCCTCCCCATCTAGGCTCTCTGCCACGTTCACTTTCATTCATCGCCTTCTTGCGTGCCTTTCTCTATCTCTCTTTTTTTTTTCTCTCTCGCTCTCTTTTTTTTTCCAGGATGCTGCCTCCCAGCCCTTCCCTGTTCTCCTTCTCTTTAACCTCTTACGCTCTTTTTCTTGCTCTCTCTGCCTTCACCCCCTTTCCTCTCCTTCCCTTGCCCTCACTTGAAGTGCCTTGGTGCCTCTCTTCCCCCTCCCCTGCACCCGGAGAGAAAGGAGAGGGAGCGCGTGCGCACGCCTGGAGCAGTAAAGGCAGAAGGGGGGCTCTGCTCACACATGGAATTGATCAGAAGAGAATCTCTGAGGTTTTCCGGCTCTTACTTTGCCGATGACGTGATGCTGATCAAACCAAGATGTTTGATTTTGAAAAAAAAATCAAATAGAATCAAGAAGGTAAAAAGAATGGGTTCTTCCTTCCCCTACTGTTTCCCAACTCATGTTGCCTAGAGGGGAATGTGCTGGGCACGTTAAGCACTGCTGGAACACAGCCTTGCGGGTGGTGATAGATAGACTCCAGGGGAGCCCCACGAAATGTTGCTGTATTGGGTGCAGTGCCCAGCAATCTTCTGGCTAGATTGTGGTGGTAGATTATTAGTTGGCAATCTTGCATGCAAAGCACCATGCAAGTCTTACTCACAACAAGCCTGTGAGTATTCTTAAGTATTTTTCCATTTTCCAGAGGGGGAATGAGGTTTGAAAACTAGCTCACCCGAGGCTGGTAGGCATGTCCTGGGATGAGTTTGTGTTTGAATCTGGCCTGTTTGGTCCAGGACTGACAAGGGAGATCCAGGCATCTTTCCTCTGGCTCTGTAGCGATCCATCACATGTGTTAGACTGCATCTGTGTCCATACATATACTGCTGGCATACTGGGGGAATAACAGCTGCTGTGCAGAAAATTCAGCACTAGGACACCCCTCCCAAATGCAGCATAGGATACCCTCTTGTTTGTCTCCTCTTGCATCCAGGTGGACAGTGACACCATCTGGAATGAGCTGCACTCCAGCAATGCTGCACGCTGGGCGGCTGGTAGTGTTGCCGAGCTGTCCTTCAAGGTGGCCAATAGGCAACTCAAGGTAAGGGGCTGACTTTAAGGTGGGCTCTTCAATGTTCGGCATCTGAAACAAGGTTTCTGTGCATCTGGGACAACTTTTGGAGAAGCTTTTGGGGCTGCATTTCAGTGATGGGAGGGGTCAAAGGCTAAAAGGGTGGGGCCAGAATTTCAAAAGCAGCAGCATATTTTTGTTTGCAGCTCTTTCTGCCATCACCTAAACATTAGGAGAGTGTTTTTGACCTTTTAGGATAGTGGTGCTGCTGGGGAACATTGGAGAATCTGCAGGGGAGGAAAGGGGAGGGCATCTGAGGAACCCAGGAGAACTGGCTTAGGATCCCAGGTGGGCTGGACAGGAGCCTCAGCCCTCTGGTTCTGCACCCATGGTTTACTCAGACGATGACATGCAGACAGTGGGAGGCAATCACAGGAAAATACTACTTCAAAGGGAAGGTTGCTTCACACACACACACACACACACACACACTTCTCTACTCCGTATTTCACTCCTTTCCCACCTGGGTTTACTGCAGGTTTCAGAGCCTGGCTTGGTTGGGCCAGCATCAACAACCAGGGCCCCAGCAAGGCTCACCCTCGATGTCAGCCCCGAGTCCCCCATGCCAAGCAGTTGGGCTTGCACCCCCCACCATTCTGATCATCCCCCAGTGCTCCAAAGCTATGCTGCTGAAGGCGATCGGAGTGCTAGACCACTCACAGCTGCCTAGCATGGACCACAGTGCTACTCCTGCTCCCCATTGTCTCAATCCCCACCAGGAGAGCTTCCTGGGCAGGGAGCATCAGTGCAGGGGAGACCACCAGAGGTCCAGCTCTCCTTTAAACCAGAAGTTGTCCCAGTGACAGAGCATAAAACGATTTAAAGCAACTCTGTGAGGCATTTTCAAGGGGAGGGTTGCTGGATGGGGAGTAAGGAGAAGCACCCTTTCTGATCAAGCCCAATTCTTCTTGGCATGAAGGCAGCTTTTTGCAGGGATGGGGAAATTCTGGCCTGGGGAAGTCCCCAATCTTGCCCATGGAACCTCCCAGGAATGTCCACCTTTTTCAGTTTCAGAGTAAACATCTCTTTTTTATGGGGTGGAATTTTCCCTAAGGTCACCTTTTTTCCAAGCCTTTTCAATGATGTTAATTTCCCTCCCTGGCCCCTATTCTGGTTCTTTACCTTCAACATAGGTAAGCAGGTAACATGTAACTGATGTGAGGATGTCACAGTGTTACAGACATGACATTATGGGGGGCAAACAAAGCCAATCAAGAGTGAAGGTAATGTTTCTTGGACCGACACATAAGTTATCCCTGTGAATTGGAGCACCAACAACCTTCTCTTTGCAGGGCACAAAGCTACTTAGTGGAACTGCTGAAAATTATTTGCAGAAAGCCCTCATTTGTACCCCCACTGGGCTGTGATATCTGCTGGTCCCAAATGGTTTTTACCTGGAATTGCTGTTTCTTTTGTTTGAATGCTTACATTGGTGGAGTGTAGTTTTTCGGTTATTTGTCTTAATGGATTGCAAAGGTGCCTCTAAATGCAAGAGATGTGGGTGGATCAGAAGCCCCATCAGTTCTAAGTGCACATTTTCAAATCATGCTTGATGCTTTTTATAAAAAGGAGAGGAACTTAATGACTCAAGCAAGAGTTACATGTTTGTTGGAAAACTAGTCTTGCTCTTAAAACAGAAATAATGTTAAGAGAGAAATATATACAGAGCAACTGTCTCAGAATATAGTTGTTGGCACATTTCGATTAATGGTTGCATTCTGAGCGAGTTAGTCATACATGTCCCAGCGAACGTAATGTGACTTGAGTTAGCCCGGATTCATTTTTCACATGGATTTCAATGTGAACCCACTGGAGCTTGCTTGCCCTGTATCCAACCTGAGACCCTGTTCCATTAATTCAAAACTTATTTCTCATCTAAACATCCGCTGGTCCTTGCTTCAGCAGTACAAAATTGCTGGCACACTGCCCAAAATTTCCAAGGTTCATGCCTATTCTGTGCTTACAGTAGGCATGAGCCAAACAGCGTTAAGCACTTTGGTGCTCCACTGTTTTCAGTGGAAGAGTTAAACACAAGTGTTGGTTCTTCCCTCTGGGATTTAATCCAAAAGATCAACTATCCTCTTAGAGAGTCCTTGGACTAGTTAATGGCAGAATACAAGTTGAATAAATAATAAATTTGAGTCTTTTGCAGTCCAAGCAAAGAAGAAATTTCAGACATCTCTGAGGTTAGCAGTTGCTTTATAGTGTAAGCTTTTGTGGCCAACATCCACTTTGTCAAATGGATGAAGTGATCACCCAAGAAGATGGATCTGTCCGCCCTGAGTACAGAGAGAAAAAGTGTTTGACTTCAGGTCACTTGTTCCCATAAACTGCAATACATGCAGGATATAGTGTAACCACATCTAAAGAAGGTCAACCTTCAGCTGCTGCGGGGGGCACACAAAGGAATAAAACAAGGAAATCCGTACAGTTATTCAACTTACAACGATGTATATTGAGACATGGCTCAAAACAAGTATAACTCAAAATTAATCCAGACACATGGTTAGATATTGGGAATTTTTCAGTCTCTGTGGAGCCATGTCACTTATTTTATGCACTGTGAATACTAATAATGATAACAGTAGCAATGTTGCAATGCTGTTTATCTTGCAGAATGGCTTTGCTGTCGTACGACCTCCAGGACACCATGCGGACCCTACAACAGCAATGTGAGGATCCCACCTTGCTTTGCTCTCCCCCTCCTTTGTTATCTCACCTTCCTGATGGAGATGTCCAGCTGCCCCCTTCCCCCAAGGTCCCATCATGCCCATGCTCCAGCTGGTGCTGTGTTGGTCTTACTGGCCTTGATCTACAAAAAGAAGCTGATCTTGACTTACAAAGTATAGATACTTTGGGGCTCCCATAATGCTGAATGTTCACTGTGTTTGAATCCCAGCTCTCTATGTTCTAGAACCCTATAGAAAGGCACAGGGATCGATCCTTTTGTCAGAACCCAACAAAATAAGAGATGAAAGAAGGATGGCGGCAGAGGGGCTGGAAAGCTATTTTTCATTTTGCCCTACAATAGGTTTTTCCAACCTGGTGCTTTCTGGAGGCATTGGACTACAACTCCCAGCATCCCTCAGCCAGCCTTTCTCCTGGCTGGCAGTTGTAGCAGTCAACTTTTTGGAAAGCTGCTGAATCTGATTTCTTCTGGGAGCGGCTCTTTTTGCCCACTAGAGAAGAGCAACACTTCCAGACTGAATAAATCTCAGCTGCTGGTCTAAAAGGTTAGACTTAACAGCTTCCAGCTAGGACAAGAAGGCGTCTGTGGCAGCAGCTTCTTTGCCTTCCCAACTTGGGGCCAGGCAAGGAACTGAGTTAGCCAATCCTTGGCTCCCTCCCCTTTGCTTTCTGCACCAAGGTTATGATAAAATATAGATAAAATAGAGAGTCCATTTATCAAACTCAGTGGAAATGCTTTCTGAAATAGTATGTGCAGGTGAGACTTGTAAGAAAATATTGCATTATGGAGTGATTGTCAACCAGCTCTGCCCATTCCATTCCATCCCCTCCTCCACCCCAGTTTCTGAATGTTTTGGTCACTCAGCATGCTCAGATTCACGGGGCTGATCCTCCTCACCACCACCTTAATAATCACCTTCTTGCCCCAGATGGTGCTATTTTGGATACATAAGGATCTCTGCACTCAGGGAACAAGTACACCATTCATAAATAGGAGGATGGTGCAAATAGCACTGCATCTGAGCTGATGCAAAAGCTTTTGATCTATAACTGGCTCTCCTCGTGAGCAAGTCCTCACCAGGAGAAGGCAGCTCTAGCTGTGGCCCAGCCCTCAAATGTGTGCCTTTGCAAGTCCAGATGAGATGCATAAGTGGAGTGGCACAACAAATTCCACCCCTGCTGAGCTAGGCAACCTAGAACCCTCTGGGACTACAGTTCCCATAGGCCCCAGCCAGCACTTGCAGACCTAAACCTGTGAAGTGCACAGGTTAGCTACCCCTGCCTCAGGTCAGGCCTCCTATGCCACTGTGGTTAGTAATTTAACACTGAGCTTTGCACATGGGAGCAAAGATGGTCTCTTCCATGGGAGTTGTGCTGTGCAGCTTGAGGGCCTGGGAGACCCATGACAGGTGGGGACGGAGGGGTGAGCTTATCTCAGGGCTCTGCTGCTGGTCTTGGATGTTAATCTGCTTCTCTCTTGCCTTCTCCCTTGGCAGGGGCTTCTGCTTCTTCAATTCAGTGGCCATTGCAGCCAGGCAGCTCCAGCAGAAAGCGAAGATTGGCAAGATCCTTATTGTAGACTGGGTGAGCTCTCCTCCCCAAAGTCCTCCTCCTTTCCCTCCTCATTTTGCAGGTTGGTTCTCACTATTCCTGCAGAGGTGGATAAAGTTTGGGAGTAAAGTTTGCCAGTTCCCTCCCCTGGTCTGTAAGCCTTCATGTATTCCCTCCTCTTAACATGTTTTGCTCTGCCCTCAGGATGTTCACCATGGTAATGGGACACAGCAAGTCTTCTACCGGGACCCAAATGTCCTCTATATCTCCTTGCATCGCCATGACGATGGCAATTTCTTCCCTGGAAGTGGAGCAGCTGATGAGGTGAACTCCTGTTCGATGAATCTCTTGTTTTGCCTAACCCAGTGTTGGGGTTCCTGCTGGACCTCTGGATGTTGTTGGACTCCAGACCCCATCAGTTCCCACTAGGCTGGCCAGTGATCAGGGTCCATACCAGTTGTGGTCTAGTGACATCTGGAGGGCCATAGGATTGTAATCCCCCTCCTAAATAGATAGCCCCTTGTGGGGGAGAATGAGTAAGAAACAAAGACTGCTTCTAAGCATGTTATTCAACCAGCATGGTTTGAAGAATGTATTTGTTGTTGATCTGGCTGCAAATCCTAACAAGGTCAGGAGGTCCCACATGGGACAATAATGCATCTTCAGATAGTCAAACAGAGAAAGACAGTATTAACACAAATTTTGAAAAGCATTATCTATTCACAAAAGAAGAAAAATGTATTGTGTATTCAAATAAAACTAGCCTGACACTAGGTTGATTAGCTCAGATTAATGTGTGAAGTGAAAGACAAACAGGTGCATCCTAGGTCAAATCAAGCCCAAACTTTTCCCAGAAGCAAAAATGACAAAACTTGAAGTTGCCACAGTTTGGGCTGCTCATGAAAAGGCAAGACTCAATGGAGAAGACAATTGTGCTAGGGAAATTGAAGGCAGAAGAAGAGAAGGAAGGCCAGCTATGAAATGGACAGACTCCATAAAGGAAGCCACAGCCTTGGACTTAGAACAGCTGAGTAGGGCTGTCAAGGACAGGACATTTTGGAGGGCTTTTATTTGCCTTTTCCAAATTTTTAATCCTAACCAAACTGGCAACCATCCATTCCAAAAGACAGCACATGTGGTTGCACTAGGAGCTTTGTTCCCCAAGTGATAAGAATTTGGAGGACTCCAGAGCAGTTCAGCAGCATTGGTCATAACATGGCTAAATAAGCTCTTGGAAGGTCACTAGAAAGAAAAGTCTTCTGGATTATTGTGCCCACCTTGGCCATAGGCACAAGTCTGGGGGGGGGGGGGAGAAAAAAGCACACATTAGGAGCACAGAGGTCTTCTTTGAATCACTCATGAGAAATCCCTCTTGGGAGAAGCTTGCTAAGCCAAAGCAGGAGAACTCCCAAGCTGTAGCAGGACATAGTGGTGTTTCCTCAAAGGGTGGGGAGACTATTTGGCATTTCCAATCCATCATGTTTTACAGCCTGCTTTCAAAGTAGCTTAGCTCTGAGAGTGCCCAGAACTAGAGTGGGCTTCCATCTGGTTCTCATCTTTCCCTCTGAGCAGGAGATATCAAAGGGGCTGCAGGGTTGTTTATGATGCTGTGCGAATCCCTGTAAGGCTGTGCCATATCAGCCAAGGCTCCCCCCACACTCTTTACGAGCTGTTTCCCCCTCCTTCATCAGCCCCCACTGTCTGTTTTGAAGTTGCAGCTCTGCCAAAAGGAAGGGCTGCAACAGAACTTCCAGGGCCTCTGGCCTGGGTCTCTCTCCCTCATTCTCACTCAGCATGCATGGCAGGATCTGCAAGGGGAGCAGCCAGGGAGTCAAGGCATTGCTAGGTCCGGGCCCCTGGGCCTATTCCTTGAATGCATTTCCCAGGATCTCTTCCCCAGAGATCCACATCTCCATAGGAGACAATGGGCGGGTTTCTTTTTTTCCTCTGTCTTGCTGCAGGATGAGGTGATTTTTAGGGCATTTGCTGCTGGGAAAGGAAGAGTTAAGTCTCCCCTTTCCACGTGCTGCAACACCCTCCCCCCCCAATATATCTTGCATGGCAATAAATCTTAACAAATACCCTTTTCCCATTAGTTTGAAGTGCAAATTAATACATTTGTTTTATTGGAAATGATGGATGAGAAATTAATTGGCTGGATGGACATTTAAACATTTATGGACATTTAAATCTATCCAAAAAATTATTTCTATATTTGAACATATAGATGTACCTCAGTGTATGCAGTTTTTATTTAGATTTGTGTCCTGTGGGCCTGGTCCCCTAATCCTGATTAACATCCTTGGTAGCAGCTCTTCAGAAATCTCTTCCTACCTCATCCAATTCCCTTTCTTTGGCCTCCTTGGTATAATGGAAAATGCCACTGCTCTCACCCCTTGTGCAAAATGCCACTCCTGTCCACTACCATCTGTGCAAAATTGCTCCTTTCATGCACAGAGCCAGCCAGAACCTGCGTTGCATCCCAACAAAAATATTTTCATGTATTTGTTACATTTCTATACCGCCTAACAGCTGAAGTTCTCCGAGTCATTCACAATAGTTAAAAACCTAACATTCAGCATAAAATGCACTATACAAATTTAAAAATTTAAAACCATAGTATCGAAAAGGTGTAAATCCCAATATAAAACCAAGAAATAGTACAAAGATGTAAAGGATTTAAAACAACAAAAACTGTGAAAGACTAAAATCCCTGGGAAAACAAGGATGCCATGGAGAGGTTTTGTCCGCATTCCAGATCTTTGCCTAGCTCAAATGTCAAAAAGCCCACAAGGGCTATTTTCTTACACGGCAGTGGGAGTGTGTGCCATGCTTTGGCCATGCCACTGGCTATACATGCTTGCCGTGCTCGGGAATGAGCTGCTGCATGCTAGGACATGGTCTGGACTTGCATTTTCAGCTGGAGCGGAGTGTGTGTGGCAAGAGGGTAACCACATCCACACAGCACACAAGCTTATGGGTAGATGCTCCTCACGGCTCAGAGTTTAATTATGAGATCTGCTACTACAAGATGTTATAGTAGCCACCAATACGCATGGCTTTAAGAGGGGATTAGACAATTATGGAAGTAAAGCTTTTAGTGACTCCTAGTCCTGATTGTTCCATGCTCCCTTCGCTCTCAGAGGCAATCCACTGAGACACAGCAGTTGCTGGGGAACAGCACTAGGAAGGTGCCGTCACACTGATGGTTTGTGGGTTTCCTGTGGGCAGCTGGTTGGTCACTTTGTGAGCAGAGTTTTAAACCAGACTGACCATCAACCTAATCCCACAGGGCCTTTTAATGGTCTCAGCCCTAGCCTCCCCTGTAGCACAGAACTGGACTCTTCCTGCAGGTGGAAAAAGAAGAGGGAGAACAGTGTATTTCTACACATATTGATGCAGAACATTTTGTCAACCAGAATGGAAGTAACTGGTCCTCTGCAAAAAAAATTAAAAAATAGATAAATGTGTAAGACCACATGAGCTGTGTTAAAACATACAGTTGTCTATACTGTATGTTGAAAGTTGCCCTCCTGAAACAGAGAGTCAACATTATTACACATTGTATCCCAAGATATACTTTGCCAAGTCCTTGAACTAGGCTCTACTCCTTGGAGAAATGAGATCTCATGGTACCAGGAAGGCAGAAACTTCTCAGGAGTGCCCCCACTGTCCTGTTCAAAACACCCACCCAGTTACATTATTGCTTTAGGAGTTGAGTGAAAATATTTTTTGTTAACACAGTCATTATTGATGTAAGCTCCAGGATCTTTACCTATATGAATGCTTTTTTTTTAGCTTGTTGCAAAAATATTATTCATGAGCACCTCCTTCAGTACAATTAATGACGTTAATACGTTTTGAAAGGAATCAATATTGGCATGATCTAGGAGGCATTTTCTCAAGTGATTTTAAGAATGCCATTTCATCTTTGGCATTTTTTGGGGCTAAACCTCTGAAGCTGGTTCTGTGGGTCATACAACATGGGAAACAACTAGTTTTACTTCGAACTAGAAAAGTACTCAACATTGTAAGGGGGGGTGGGTCTAAGTAGGATTGATATTTTTCTTTCATTTTGATCCTCCCCTTCCTCCAAGGAGCACAGTCTAATGTACATGGTCCCCCATCTGTTTTATATGCAGGCAGACCCTATGAGTACGTATGTATGTATGTATGTATGTATGTATTTATTTATTTATAGTTTTTTTAGATCATCCCTTACTGAAGTCTTGGGATGGTTTAACAGTAAGACAAAAAATAAAATAAAACACAAAATAAAACATAGCATCCTAATCAATTTCTGATATAGTTACTATCTGCTCCCAGGTCCCATATTAAAATAACAGTCAAATCTTAAATAATTGGGAAAATAAAAAGGGTTAGCCTGGTGCTGAAATGAATAAGGTGCCAGCGTCAGGCGAACCTCTCTGGGGAGCATATTCCACAGTCAGGGTGCCACCACAGAGAAGGCCCTTCTTCAGGTAACCACCCTCCTAATCTCCTTCAAGGAGGGCTCCCAGAGAAGGATATCTACCCCAGATCTTAAGGGGCAGGCAGGCACATATGGAAGGAGGTGTTCCTTCAAGTAACCAGGTCCTAAGCCATTTAGGGTTTTAAAGGTCATCACCAGTACCTAGGTAGGTCAAACTGATAGAGAATGACTGGCCCAAGATAGCCCAGTTTGCTTCAGGGCTGGTTTGGATTTGAACCTGGGTCTTCATCCGACACCAACCACTGCACTGCAGCGATCCACAGTATGCTGAAGAAATCTTGATGGGGAATAGTGCCGCCTGCTGGAAAGTGCCTATCACAGAAAACCAACCCACCCATTACTCTCCATGGGACACTTAAGAATTGTCCAAAAAGAGAAAACAAATGATAAGAAAGGAGACCAAAAAGGATCATAATTTGCATGTTTGGATTTGCTGACAGATGGAAGGATAGATAGGTGCAAATTCAGAATTATCATATAAATAGAAATGTGGCTTTCACCACAGTGTAGAAAACTGTGACCAGGTCTGTCCGTTCAGTCTTTCTGTCTGCATGTTAATTGTTGTAATGGGCAACAGTTCTTACAGCTCTTGATCATCTTCACCATCATCCTTCAAACAGATGATCCTTTGTAAAAAAAAAAGTATATACAGACAGTCCCCAAGTTATGAACATCTGAGTTATGAACAAACCATTCTTGCAAACAGCTATAAGGCCTGTTATTTAAAAAAAAAATCATTACAGAAAATAGTCATCAGCACAGAGAAAGAGGAAGCAAAAAGGGAGAGAGGGAGGCCTCCAAACAGGCCTTCCTGCCCCATCCATCTGGAGAAGAAAATCTCTCTAGCATTTCCTTGCTACAAAAAAGGAGGTGCTGGTGTTTCTGGGCATGCTTGAGGGGTTAGAAATACTTGCAGTGTTTCCACTTTCATAGGGGTTCTACACCCCTCACTCCACGAATGTAGAGGGCTAACTATACATGATCCAGCTTTCATACAAATTCAAATTAAAGTTGGATTTCCATTGTCTCAGGAACGGCACTCTTTTGTAACCCTGGACAGCCTCCTGTTTGAACATTGGCTCCCTGTCTAGTGCTTTAACCCCCCTGCCCGCCCCCCATACACACCTGGGAGCAGATAGTAACCATATGGAAACAGTAAATGGCTATACTCAAGGACACCACAGGGGTATGTGCCAGACCAGATCCCTGCTGCTGATGACCCCGGCCATTAAACTTCCTCCAGTCTCCATTGTCCCATTGCAACTCCTTTCTCACTGGTCTACCAGCATGTCATGGAAAGTTGAAAACTGCCTTTTACCAGGCAAGGGTGGGTGGGAAGAGATGTTTCTTGCTTAATTCTTGCGGTCTTGCAAATGCATTTTTTAAACAAAGATATTCCTCTGAATGCTTAAACCTATAAAGATCTACATGATCTATCACCAGTCTGCTAGGAAATTGTGAGTTTGCTTTGCATTTCAAAGAACTCCCCAAAAAAGAACATTTGGACATGCAGTAAACAAGCCACTACGATAGCATCACATGAAGCAATGCCTATAAAAACTGATTTAAGGATTTGTCTGCCAGTTAAATGGCTTGTGCTGCTGTTTTCCTGTTGTTATGAACAGTCCGTATACTATTCCATTGTTGACAGCACTTTCTGGGTCCTCTTGAATATCATAGTCAAACACGATATCGTTCTGCCCTCATACAGACCTTTGGTGTGAACCCTTCTGAAATACTGTATTGCACCTCAAAAAGGATATTGTAGAATTAGAGAAAGTGCAGAAAAGCGTGACTAAGATGATGGAGGGGCTGCAGCAATTCTCCTTTGAGGAAAGTTTACAGCATCTGGGATGGTTTAGCTTAGAAAAGCGGGTGAGTCACAGGAGACACGCTAGAGGTGTTCAAAATGATGCATGGTGTGGAAAAGGAGGTGGCGGCATTTCTCTCTGTCTCTCTCTTCATGCTGGGACCTCAGTTCATCCCATGAAGCTAGGTGGTGGGAGAGTCGGGACACATACGATGAATCACTTCTTAATGTTACATGTGCTGAACTGTGGAATTCACTTCCACAAGACATTGTGAAGCCCCTGAACTGGGATGGCTTGACAGCAGGATTGGAGAAATTAATGGCGGAGAAGGCGGGCAGTAGCAATGAGGGCAATGTGCTGCCTCCATCTTCACTGGCAGCATGAGTCTTGTGGCCTCCTCCAATATCGGAGGCAGGATGCCTGCTTGCACCCGCTACTGGGAAATCTGGGTGGAAGGGTGCCATGGCACTCACATCCTGCTTGCAGGCTTTCCAGCAGATTGGCCACTTTGTGGAATGAATGTTGAACTAGATGGTTTGATCCAGCATGGCCCTTTTTATGTTCTTCTGTGTGTGTTTTCTTGTACATCAGGAAATCCAGCCCGCCTGATATGAAGCACCTTCAGCTGGTCTAGGTTTAGGGTTCCTTCACACATTACTCATCCTTGATATGGTGGGAGGGGGCCCGATGCCTGACCCCCACCGAGGCCTTCGTTGTGCACACTGTTAACTTAATGTGACTGGCAGGGCCTTGCTGGGTGCTTAAAAGGTACAGGCCCAATATTTCCATTGGCATCAATGGGCGTCCATTTCCCCCAAGTTTCCTTGCCATGGGGATAGTGGATTTTTGGTGGTGGGGAAGGGCCCAGGGAAGGGATTGCTCATCCATCTCTCCTCAACTGGGAACCTCCTGCACACCACCTCCTGGCATGGCAGCTACACTCAGGAAAAGCCTCCGAAATCTTTTATTTCCTGAGCTTAATTGCAATGCAGAGGGGGAAGAGGGTGCGGAAGCATTGCAGCAGCCTGAGGGGGGATCAGGGAAGACAGAATCTTCTGCAAGAATCAGGAATAGAGGGGAGAGATTTGGCATGAAGGCTCCAGGTCAAGCAAGATACTTGGCAATTCAGAAGGTCAGGAAGAAGAGCTCTCCAAGGTAACATCACTCCTGCTTTTCTTTTTCAGGTGGGCTCTGGTCCCGGTGAGGGCTTCACTGTCAATGTGGCTTGGACAGGTGGCCTTGACCCACCCATGGGGGACCCCGAATACTTGGCTGCTTTCCGGTAGGCCTTCCCTCTGGACCGTGGACCACAGTGCCCATTTTCCCTTGGCGGTCCCATTGACTTCATCAGCAGGGCCTTCTCATAAGAAGATTTTGGTTGCCCAGATAACAAGTGGAAGAAGCAAGGGATGAGTTCTTGAGCCATGCACAAAGGGGCTCTTGAAATCCTCCACCCTATTTGTGAGCAGAAGAATTGGGGGTGCAGTGTTGCCAAATTTATCCAGCAAGAAATACAAATTTTCCAGTGTTTCTCATTGCTGGGGTTCTCCATTAACAGTGGCAGTAACATTCTTTCTTTCCCATTTCCCCTAAGGTAGGTTTTGGGGTGGGGGAATTGTGGCCACAGCAGTTAGCTGGCTGCCATTTTGCATCCTCCACAATGCTCCAGACTTGATATAGCCCTATGCCATTGTGGCAGGAGTATGGCTGCAATCAAAAAAGGTGGGAAATTTTAGAGAAATTTCTTCAAAGAAGTCATCTTTTGACACAGGTACAGCAGGTGGTCAGTGTTTTGAAAAGGAGAGGGAGCACACTTATTTTTTTTTTTTCTCAGAAAGAATTCTGAGAAATTCCAGAACATCCAGATATTAGGTTCTGTAATTATTTTGGGAGAGTTCTCTTTTAAGTCAAATCGATGACTCAATTAAGTGTCAGTGTTTCTTTTCCTTTATTATGTATATTTTAAAGCTTGGGTTTGCAACTTTTTTTTTTTTGTTTTGCTCATGATCGCTTTCTGAGCCACCTTACCATCTGCACTATACCCCTTTAGAAATATGGCATGGTCCCCTGAGGGGCCATATGGCCCATGCTGAGAAACCCTGCTTTGAAGGACTGATTATTGCTAGGAAAACGGCATAGAAACAACAGATAAATTGATTACGCAGTGCTGTGTGGTTTTGCCAAGGGATGGGATGAGACATGGTAAAACAGCATATGACCATTGGCCAGCACTGCACATTGGTGTACATAGGGCTTCACAGAATAGCATAACTGAAAGGTAGGTCTCTGCCATGGAGGAGGTTAGCAGAGGAGCAAAGAAGGCAGCTTGGATTGAGGGGGAGGGCCTTTTAAGTGATGGCCCCTTGATTATGGAACACTCTCCCCAGTAAGGCCTGCTTTTCATCTTCTTGATGCTGGTTAAGATTGTCCCATATTCCCAGGTGTTTGACAGCATGTGAAAAGGCTTTTAATGGGTCCTGGCATTCTGAAGTTGTTATGTTTTGTATGTTTGCCTTACAGTATGTATCTCAGCATGTAAATATTTGTAAGCCACCCAATGTGCTTTGTATATTGGGCAGTATAGAAATGCAATAATGCAGTATAGAAATGCAAAGCTCCTGTGTTAGTTCCAGTGCTGCACTCCTAAATAAGTCTGATTTAAGATTTTGCATTTAGACTCTGCACAGCTTCAACTCCTTTACTACCAAGGGAAGTAGGAGATGCCTCGATCAGAACATAGAGCTTGAGTAAATGAAGACTCTCATAGCCTTACAACATAGCAATATGCACTATTTGAATGTGTTTACTTTTAGTTATACATGCGGGAATATTATTCACAGGAATGCAAGCATGCCTGGTTTTCTTGGCTTTTTATTTGCATCATGTGGGATGAAAGAACTGGGGGGACTTCAGAGTCGGGGAAGGAAGCCTACGGCTGCAACATGGAGTCTCAAGGGATCCACTGGGACTTAATTCCAAGTAAACATGATTAAACTTAGGACAAGGCCATAAATATCTTTCCTGGATTGTCAAACATTGCACGCACACCTCTGCTGGCAGCTCTTAGCTTTCCTTCTCATCCTGACTATCCCTAGCAAACCATCTGGAACCCTCAAGCTGAGGCCTGAAGTTCTGCTCAAGCCCTTCTTTCATTTCCTTTGCAATGTCAGGGCATCTCCTGGCCCTGTAACTGTAGTATCAGAAGCCCCAGCCACATGGGAGCAGCTGGTGCTATGACGTCTGCCCCAAGCGAACTTCCAGACTCCCTGTGTATTACAGGGTTAGGACCTTCCAGCATACTAATTGCAATCCTTGTATATAGCAAGGGTTTTGAAGTTTTGAAGTGTTCAAAGCGCTCTGACTGCACCCTCCTTTTTGTGCATCACAACAACCGTGCAAGGTAGGTCAGTATTGTTCCCATATGGTGCAGAGGGAGGGGTCTCAGGCAGGCAGGCAGGCAGGCTGCCTAGCCTTTGAATGGGAGTTCAGACCTGAGAGCTGCCTGATTCTAGGGCTTATATCCTAGCTGAGCCCAGTTCTGCTGCCAAGTTTGGAGAAACATGGCTAAGAGGAAGCCATGGTCCCATCTCTTCCTTGCTCCTGCACAATTTGGCTAATTACCCTTGTAGCATGCAGCTTGCCATGTTGTCCAAAGCCAGTGAGTTGTACAGTGGGGTGGCTTCAAAGCAACTCCAGAACGCATGCCTCATTGTAGGCAGGTTTCAAAGCCACACCTTGCCAGGTTCAGGTAATACAACAAAATATTTTTGCGCAAAATATGTTTGCACTGCAAAAATAATCAGGCAAATTGTGTAGCATGCGAAGAAGAGACGCTAACATACTTTCCTTTCTCCATGAATATCTGAACCCAGCCAGTGCTTGCATAAACGCTACTTTCTTTCTTTCTTTGCCAGGGAGGCAGTCCAGCTCTGGCAGATGGATGTGTGTGTGTTAAGCCTCCCCCCACATTGCAGTTAGGCTGCTTGCACCTGCTGGGTGCATTGGAAGGAAAGCTTCCGTTGGTACCAATGGAAGTGTTCCTTTCAAAACATAACAGATGACAGGCCTCGTTCTGGATCAGGTCCTCCAGCCTGCTGTTTAACTTTAAGATGGGGAGAGGAACCCTTAGCCCTGCAGATGTCATCAGACAATATCTCTCTCTGTTTTGGCCCTCCATTTGCTGTCACCTATCACCAGCCTAAGCAATGAGGGCTGCTGGGAGTCTCAGGTCAGTGAGTCTGGAGGGCCATGTGTTTCCCATCAATTGCTTGTTGCATCTAGAATGGACATCAATCACGATGCTTCACCAGCTCTCCAGCCCCTTCACATCGCAGGAAGGAGCTGCTCTCCACTGGCTTCCACACCTCAAACACACACGTGCAAACCCCCATGAGAAAGGGGTCCGGAGAGCTTGGTTCTGCCACGTGGCCAGAGCCAGCTCCACCAGGGCTCATGAATGAGGACTGACAGTGCTTGGCAAAAGCCCAGTTTGCAATTGCAAGCAGCCCAGTCCGTGCCAAGCTTGGGCTTTGGCAATGGGCCACCCTCCTCCAGCTGCCCAGCACATGTGCTTTGATGATACTTAACAGGGCTCTATAAATAGCTTCCCTGCCGCCACCCCCTCTCTTGCCACATGCAGAAATGCAGCTCTCAGGCTCTGTGAACATCATGCCTCTTGGAGTTGCTTGCCAAGCATGGCCCAAGTGATGGATGGGTCTTTAGGGAAGGCCAGAATTTTTGTCCCTCTGGACAAGATTGTGGCTTTGTTGGGCTCTCCATAAGAGAGCTGGGAAAGGCATTTGCACAGCAGGGCATCTAGAAAGGAATGCAAGACTGAGCCAGCATCCTTGCCATTGCTGGGGATCAATCCAATCCTATAATGATGTTTCCTTGTTTCACAGGGAATGCTGGGGAAGAGCCTCCCTGTGGAAACGGGGGCCCCAACTGGCTTTCTTCCTGAAATGAGCTACCACCTCTGAAAGTGGTACTGGCAAGCATGTCAAGGCTGAGAAACTACTCACCTTTGGGTGAGAGGCAGAGGCCAGAAATAGAATCTGAGCAGGGCTCTTTTCAGACATAAGAAAAGCTCTGAAAAGGGGTGGGGAACAGCCTTTAGCTGTCTACATCATAACAACAGGGAAACCCAGAAAGTTGCAAAATGTAGTCATGGCACAGAATTCAGCTTTTGGGGGAAAAAAGCTTCACTTTGAGAGACAGGAAAGCAAGTTTCTAGTCCTTAAGACTGGCCAAACTGATGCTTGCTGATATCTCAGAAGGCAGGATGGGATGGTGGTTGAAGTAATGAAAAACAATGCTGGGTTTTATAAAGATTTTTCTCTAGAACCCTGTTTCTTTGGATTTGTTGAGGTGTTCCATAAAAGGGCTTGAGCCTACTTTGAAAGATCTCTGGGGGTGTGCAATACATTAAGAAGGTCTGATTCAAACACCAAAAGAAATAAAAACAGCACAGGATAGGATGAAACAGGCAGCAAAGAATAAAACCATTACACCACCACAAAGCAATGGAAAAACCAGGAGCAGAATAGAGCATGCGGTTCAGGTTGCAGAATGGGAATAGTGGAGCAGGATTGTGGTTGCTTGTTTCACCTCGTCTCGTTTTGTTTAGTTCCATTTTGTAGCAAAAAAAGAGCCAGTGTGGTACAGTGGTTAAGAGTGAAGGACTGGGACACAGATGATCTGGGTTCAAGTCCCCACTCAGCCATGGAACTCACTGGCCAGTCACAGACTCTCAGCCCAACTTCCCTCACATGGTTGTTGTGAGGATAGGCTTGGAGGAAGAGGAGACTTATGAAAGCTGCCTTGACTACCTTGAAAGGAAAAAAAGTAGAATATAAAATGAATGAACGAACGAACAGCACACAGCATCCTGTGAATTCCCCATGCATAATTTTAATGCAGGCGTCTGAGCCATTGTATTGTAGCTAGGCTGCATGATGCCACATGCTAGGAGAAGCCAGGAGGAGCATTTTATGCAACAGCACAGTGCCAGAGATGCTAACTAACCCTGGCTTGCTTCTGTTTTCTCTCCCCACCTTGCAGGACAGTTGTGATGCCGATAGCCCACGAGTTCTCACCGGATGTGGTGCTGGTGTCTGCAGGCTTTGATGCAGCTGATGGCCATCCTCCCCCGCTGGGAGGCTACAAAGTCTCAGCCAAATGTAAGGCCCTTCCATATTGCCAGGGGACCTGATTAGTGGTGGCAATTCTACAATGTCTGAGCTGGGAGTGGAATATGCAGCCCTCATGGTCAGCTTGGTCTCTGGGTGTGGGGAGGGCACATTTGTACTTCAGGTGGCCACTGGATGCTCTTGCTGCCTCTGCCTTTGGTACCCAGCCAGCCTTTGGGGTGTTTGCCAAGGAGGAGAGCTTTCAAGAGCATGTCTGAATGCACTGTGGCTTGAGATTCCTTGGAAGTCTATAAATGGCTCCATGGTGGCTGGCCAGCCTTCCTGAAAAAGGCTCAACTTTGTTCAATTGAAGGATCACCTCCCTGCTGTTGACCTGTGTTTTAAGATCAGCAGGGGCGACTCTTCTGGTGGTGCCCCAAGAAATATGACTCATGGAGTTACCATGCTAAACTGCCCAGTAATGTAGAGATTTGCCCTTGTCTCCACCTTCTTTGCACTGAGGCATCTGCTTAACAAAACAGCCTGTTTTTGCAGGCACAATAAAAGTCAACAGTAGTTAGCTAAGTGTTGCTGTTACTGTGTGTGTTGTATAAAACTTCAGCAGTTTTTCTCTGAAGCAGCTGTACATGTGCATCTGACAGAGTGGAGTCAGGGAGGCAGGCCCACAGAGGAGAAGAGTGGGGGACTGCACCCACAGAGAGCCTCTCCAACATTTCTAGCAGGTGCTCTGGAGAGTCCTAACAACAGCTGGCTTGGCTGCAGCAAGAGAGGGGCTGGCGGGACTCTCGGAAGGAGCCTGCTGTGTGTGCCACCACGTCTCCTTGCCAGAGTTGCAGCAGTTTGTCGCTGTGTGTCTCACAAGAGCTCAGCTGACCTCTTGCAGGAACTTGGCTGACCTCTTGACGGAGCCCTGCAGCTGGGAAGGACTGCAAAGCGGGAGTCGGCGGGCAAGCAGAAGCAGCTGGCTGGATGTGGCAGAGACCTTCCTTGAGGCAGCAAATGTGTTCAGCTGGGTCTGAGGGAGGGAGGGAGGGAGGGAGGGAAGCAGATTGATTGACTGGGCCTGATGGAGAAGGGATGGCAGGAAGACAAGGAAGAGAAGCCATCCTGACCCCCAGGGATACTACCAGGGAAACAAGTCCCATGACAGCTCCTGTCTGAAAGATCTCATGTTCCTTTGCCTTTTCCTCTGCAGTCTTTGGTTACATGACCAGGCAGCTGATGAACGTGGCTGGGGGGGCCCTTGTTCTTGCCCTTGAAGGAGGCCACGATCTGACCGCCATCTGTGATGCCTCCGAAGCCTGCGTCTCTGCCCTGCTTGGTAACGAGGTGAGTGGGACCCACAGTCTGCAGAATGAGGGGAGGATCCTTGGCTTATCCCAGGGCAGTGCCTCACCATAGAGCCTGCTTTAACTGTTTGGCCACAGCCACAGGACACAGTGCAAAATAATATAAAGGAGAATCCTCTGCAAAGATATGCAGAGGAGTTGTTACTCTCTCTGCTTGCCTCCACATACAGAGTTTAATTTCTAAATGTTGGGCTCGTACACACAAGACATCAGCTAAAGCAGTGTGCAATCAATAAACCTAACAAAGATTGCACATGATTAAAAATCAGCAGTCAGATGTGAAAATCACAGAAGGGGAAAAAGAAATTAAGCCAAACCAAAAGCCCAGCAGAACAAAAAGGGATCAGCAATCTGTCAAAATGCCAACAGGGTGAGGCCAATTGGGCCTTTTGCAGTAGGAGGTTTCACAAGCTGGGAGTTGGGGAAAATGTGCCTTCTAAAAATGCACATTTGCCCACTCAAAATGTGCATTTTTCCCTGATTGGGAAGGAAAAAAGATGCCCAGGTTCAAGAATACAAATGAGGGGAATTCAGACAAGAAACCTCGAGTGTTGTACATTCATTCATCCCTGCTTAAAACCAGAACTTTAAATTGGGCCCGGCAGCAGATTGGGAGGCACTACCAAATTTGCAGTGCTCTCTTCTAGTTAATACATTGCTGGGTTTGCTTTGAACAGCTGCAATTTCTGGATTACTTTATAAAATCAGTCCAACATTCAATGCATTGCAAAAAGTCTAAATGGGAGATTAAAACAGAATCATCACCAAGCAATGCCTCCTGCATCCAACTCAGAGCCTATCCAGAAGGATACATAAGCATATAAAAGAGCCCTTTTGACACAAACCAAAGGCTCAACTAGTGTAGCATTTTCTTCTGCCTGGAAGGGAAGCTCACCAGAAGGATATGAGGGCAACAACACCCTTCTGCTTCTGTTCCAGCAATGGATATTTAGAGGCATCCTGCCCCCAACATGTAGGTTTTCTATATACCCATTATTAGCCACTCTCAGCCTTCTCCTCTGTGAAGCAGTGAGGTCAATATCACTGAAAGCCATGAGAAGTCCTAGAAAATCAACAGGAGCACACACCCTCCGTCTCTCAGTTGGCCACAGGGAGGCCAAGACTATTTCTCTTCCATAGCAAGTCCAACTGAAGAGGATCCAGAAGATCAGGTTCATCCCAGAGTTAGGAGTTAATTGCTCCCTTGAACCACCTTGCTGATGAAGGGAATGTTAGCCACATGGGTCAGTTATTGTTATTAATGTCTTGGGTCCAGCTTAGGTTTCTTCAGGAGTGGACTTTTAAAGAGGCTGTACCACACCCTCTCTCAGGGAGGCATTTATAGCCACCTGGGCCCAGCTGACCTGCCATACCCCACTAGATTGAATAACCTGTGAGATGCCAGGATCATGCACACAAGCAGGTGGCCAAGCTTCTGACCCAGGTCTCCCCACTCAAGTTCAACATTCTCTTGCAACTTTTCCCCAGCTTCTGATAGCTGAGACTCACTCCCACACCCAAACCTGATTTAAAATCAGGGGCACCCTTCCCTTTCACACATGCAAAGGTTTACTTTTAATGTGAGAGCACACTGCATCCAGGCTTCTGCAGCCATGGCTATTCTAAGCAAGCCCCCTTCCTGGAAGAAGGCAAACCCTGGCCTGTGAGTCACTCAGTGATAAAACACAGAAGCCCTTCTGAGGGTGTTGAAGTCTGCAGCATCTCTTCATCAAGAACCGGCTGGCTAATCCAGTCCTAGCTGATGTAGAAACATGTCAGGATCACCTACTGAGGATGATTAGAAGGCCCAAGATGTGAAACATGGTGGATGCAGCTGGCCACCATCTCTATGAGATTAGAGTTCACATGGAATAATTCTTGCATCTGAATCATAGTATGTTGCCTTGTGCACATCAAATGGTTTGTCCTTCTAGCCCAGAAATAGCTTTTTGGGATCGCTAGCAAAAAGGATATTTCCCATCATCTCTGTTCCCTGGTGACTGAAGAATGCAGGGATTAACCCTTGAATCCCCTGTTTGTAAAACTGACCACTGATTTCCACACCTGCTGCAACTCTTATTTCTAGCAGCAAACATTAGCAGTCATCTTGCAATATGCCACTGTGCACTGGCAAGTTTTGGGAATCCTTGCTCTGTCTGCTGCATTATACTACCTTAGTTTGTATCCAGTGTTAGCCCTGCCATGAGTAGGGCCACTGTGATGAACGGGCTTTGAGTGAGACTAACCTGGGATTCAACCCTCAGTCTGCATAGTTTATGCAAATTACAGTGAGGCCTTTCCTGTGTCCCACACCTGTGCAGTTTTAAACTGCTTGGATTTTTGAAAAAGAAACATCCAAATTAAATTATGATTAGCTACCCAGAGTAAGAGTCCCCACTAGCATCCCATAAAAGGAAAAGATGTGTAAAGGTAGCTTTTTTGCTGCCTGTCAAAGAACCTGTTTTCTTATCTTTGTTTGAATGCCTTAATTTTAGCACAGGGAGAAAAGTTACCTTTCAGACTAAATAACAAAATCCTTCTAGATTTTGGGACCAAGTCTAGAATAACAAGAGGATTTAAATACTCAGGAAAAGTAAATTGTATGACAGAAACTTGACTGGGTATATATTAACAAGAATTCAGGAACATGCATTTTAAAAATAAAGACAATGGTGAGTGAGATTCCATGTGATCACGCTTCCAGTTTGCTGCGTCAATGATATTTATAACTAGAATCGTTTTTTCTATAAATAGAAATTAAAGCTGAAATTAACTGGAGCTATTATTTCCTTTGAAGGATTTATGCTATCCACACCCTATACCATCCACTGTCCACGCACCATCTTCCCTCATCAAACGCCCTCTTTAGAATATCTTCGACTCTCCTTCTAACATTGTAATGACTGTATGTCATAGAGGGGAGTGTTACATGATTCCTTAAACTTTGTTACACTGGTGTAATGATCAGGGACGTTTCACATTTGTGGGCATCCATGCTCATGGCCTCCCGATCAGTCCAGTTATTTCATGTCTGAGAGATATTACTATATATGGACTTGTTTGGGAGAGCCACATTTGCCTGCAAGCAACCTGCCTTTTCTTCTTGGAGTGACCGTACAAACATTCAGGTGTGCAACTGAGCTGGTTGTGAAGTCCTTGTCTGCATCCCTTAGCTGCGGCCCTTAGGCTGTCAGGGGACTCCCTTCCCTGGGACACAGAGGTTTGTTTGTTTGTTTTGAGCTGTGCTGTGCTGTGCTTTGCTTTGCTTTTCTTCCAATTTAGATTTAAGTTTATTTTATCCTTGTGTGTGTGTGCGAGTGGGTTTTTGTCTGGGAGAACTGGGCGAGTGAGAGGAACTTCAGGACAAACAAGGCAGGGGACCAAGGTAAGGTCTCGGAAGGGATACCGATGGCAGACCAGAAGATGGCCTTGGTGGGAGTCACGGGTGTTGCTGTTCGCTGCGACATTTTCGCCCTTCTCCCCCAGGAGAGGCAGGGATACACTTGCCCTCGGCGCAAGATGGTGACCCTGCTAGAAGAGGAGGTGAGGTGCCTGAGGGCCGAGAGAGCTCTCCAGGCCCCCCAGGAGCAGCCCCCCTCTGGACAGAGGGTTGAGGGAGAGGCCATGGGAGGAGCAGCTGAGGAGACATGGAGGTATGTCACCCGCAGGAGGAGGAGGCCAGCATGGCCTCCTCCTCCTCCTGGCACCAATCTGGAGCTGGGAAACAGGTTCTCTCCACTTGGGGAGGCTGGGGCTGATGAGGCCTCGGGGGACCAGCAGGACCCCCAGCCTGGGATGACAGGCGGCAAGGGAGCCACTGCAGGAGAGGCAAGGGCCAGGGCACGGCCGCCCACCAGCACCGGGAAGGCACGGCGGTGGATGATTGCCACTGGGGAGTGTGCCACCGCAACCTGCAGACAAGGGAGGTTTGCTGCCTGCTGGGCGCACGCATCCGGCATGTGAAGGACAGAGTGGAGTGTCTTGTTCGCTCCGGGGGGTCACCAGCCGCTCCTGGTGATCTATGTGGTCACAAATGATGTGGCCAGGTAGGGTGCGCTTGGGACCACCAGGGACTTCAAGGCCTTGGGGAAGAAACTCAGGGAGCTGAAGGCCCAAGTGGCCTTCTCGTCAATCTTACCTGTCTGAGGATTTGGGCCAGGAAGGGACAGGAGGGCCTCCGAGGTGAACGACTGGCTTAGGGTGTGGTGCCAGAAGGAACGCTTCGGGTTCCTCGACCACGGCACTCGTTTTCTTGCCAATGGACTTCTGGCGGGACGGGTTACACCTCATGAGGACGGGGAAAAGGTCCTTTGGAGATGCTCTAGCAAGCTTTGTCCAGAAGCCTTTAAACTGAGCTGGGGGGAGGGGTTCAGGCCCCCCAGTAACGTGTCTGCACTGGACAAGTGTGGGGGGAGGACCAGGGCTCTGGGAGCAGGGTTTTAGAGGTACTGCAGGGACTGACAGGACTCCTACAGAGAGGGGCCAGGTATCAGGGAGGATGGGAGGAAGGAGGAGGCTGGGAACTCCAAGGAAAGGAAGTGGTGGGAAGGAGTTGAGGTGCGTGTACACCAATGCTAGGAGCATGGGTAATAAGCAGGAAGAGCTTGAAGCTCTCCTGGGAACAGGAGGGTATGATCTGGTGGGAATCACAGAAACTTGGTGGGATGAAAGGCAAGTCTGGAATGTGAACATAGAAGGGTATCACCTTTTTAGAAAGGACAGGAAGGGAAAGAGAGGTGGGGGCGTGGCTTTACACGTCAGGGAAGGGATAGGATGCACTGAGATAGAATGCAGCACAGATGGGGATTCAGCAGAGGCAGTCTGGGTGAAACTTAGGGGTTTTGACAGGGAAAGGGACCTGACAGTGGGGGTATGTTATCGCCCTCCAGGTCAACTTGAGACCCTGGATGATGTCCTGACAGGCCAGATTCTAAGGATATCTCGCGGGAGAGACACAGTAATTATGGGAGATTTCAGTCTCCCGGATATTAGTTGGGAGACTCACTCAGCGGTGACAGCCAGGTCATGCCGCTTCCTAGAAGCTATAGAGGGAGGGTTTTTCACACACAGGGTCCAAGAGGTGACGAGGGGGGGAACATCCTTGACTTGGTCTTGACCAATAGGGAGGAGCTGATAGATGAAGTACAGATTAGGGGAGCTCTGGATGCGAGTGATCACTCCATCCTTTGCTTTGAGATCAGGGGACTGGGGACGTGCAGCAGGTCGAGCACTAGAAGCTGGAACTTCAAGAGGGCCAACTGAAGGCCAGACTGGGGAAAGTCTCCTGGGATAGGTTACTGGAAGGTAAGCGAGTTGAGGAGGGGTGGGTGGCACTCAAAAGGGAGGTTTTGGAGGCACAAGTCTTGACGATACCTCTAGTTAGTAAGGTGGGGAGGCGGAGGAGAATGCCGCCATGGATGCGAAAGGAGGTGGTTAGAGGGATTAGACGAAAGAGGAACCTCCGTAGGAAATGGGTACTGGGGCAATTAGACAAAAGGGTATACCGGGAGGAGGAGGCCCGTTGCAGAAGGATTCTTCGCAAGGCTAAGGCTGATTACGAGCTGAGACTTGACAAGAATAGCAAGAGCAACAAAAAGGGCTTCTTTCAGGATATAAATAGGAAGAGGAAGGGGCGACAAGTGGTGGGACCACTAAAGAAGGAGGAAGGAGATCCAGTGACTGATATGAGGGAACAGGCTCAGATGCTAAATGACTATCTTGCCTCTGTGTTCTCCCCAAAGCAGGATGGGGGATATCCGCATAGGAGATTAGATGAAGCTGGGGACTTAGGGGCACAGATTAGAGTCACCCCCCCTTGAAGTTGAGGGGCTCCTCAGGGCATTGGACATTACAAAGGTGCCAGGCCCTGACAGGTTACACCTGAGAGTACTTAGAGAGTTGGCAGGAGTTCTCTCACGCCTGCTGGCCTCCATTTTTGAGACCTTGTGGAGAACAGGTGAAGTTCCAGAGGACTGGAGGGTGGCATCTTTGGTCCCAATTTTCAAAAAGGGTAGTAGAAGGGACATGGGGAATTATAGACCGGTTAGCCTTATGTCCATTGTAGGAAAAACAATGGAAAGGCTCATAATAGAGAGAGATCTAGTGATGCTAGATAGGGAAGGGAGGCTGACACCGCACAACACGGTTTCCGCAAAAACAGGTCCTGCCAGACATACCTTGTGGAATTCTATGACAAGGTTTCGAGATGGCTAGATGGAGGGGATGCAGTGGCTGTGGTATACCTGGATTTCAGCAAGGCCTTTGACAAAGTGCCCCATGATATCCTGGTGGAAAAATGAGGAGTTTTGGGATACACCAAAGCACTGTCCGGTGGATTAGGGCATGGTTGACTGACCGAAAGCAGAGGTAACCATTCGTAGGGAATCATCGGGACGGCAGCCAGTGACAAGCAGGGTCCCCCAGGGCTCTGTCCTGGGGCTGATCCTGTTTAATCTTTTCATTAATGACATGGAAGAAGGGGTGAACAGTCTGCTGATCAAATTCGCAGATGATACTGAAACTGGAGCAGTGGCCAAAACTGAGGAGCAGGTACTCCAGAGCCAAAAGGATCTGGACAGACTATGGAAGTGGACAGGAGACAACAGGATGGCGTTCATTGTGGATAAGTGCAAGGCCTTGCACTTGGGGCATAGGAATAGCTGTCATAAGTACAGGTTAGGTGACAAGCGGCTGGAGAGCAGCACTTGTGAAAGGGACCTCGGGGTGCTGGTTGACTGCAGGCTAAACATGAGTCAGCAGTGTGTTGCGGTGGTCAAGAGGGCGAATGCCACCCTTGGTTGCATAGCCAGAAGTGTGGCTTCTAGCTCGAGAGAGGTATTACTACCAATCTATACGACTCTGGTGCGCCCGCAATTGGAGTATTGTTTTCAGTTTTGGGCCCCTCATTACAGAAAGGATATAGCCAGGTTAGAGTCAATGCAGCGTAGGGCCACAAGGTTGGTGGCCAGTTTGCAGGGGATGGGATATGAGGCGAGACTGAGGGAACTGGGTCTCTTCAGCCTGGAGAAGAGGAGACTCAGAGGGGATCTGTTGGCAACATACAGGTATGTGAGGGGATGTCACATGGAGATGGGTAGAGACCTGTTCTCCCCTGCAGAGGAAGGAAGAATGCGCTCAAACAGAGCAAAGCTCAGGGAACCAAGGTTCCATTTGGATACCAGGAAGCACTTGGTAGGAGCTTGGTAGGAGAAGTTAGGACCCCGAGGGTGTGGAATGGGCTTCCATGAGAAGTCGTTGAGGCCCCATCGGTGTGCATGTTCAAGGATAGGCTGGACGTCCACATGCTGGGCATGTCGTGAGCGGAGCCAGCTGGTGCCGGAGGTCAGACTAGATGGCCCGGGAGGCCCCTTCTGACTCACTCTGTTTCTATGTTTCCTGCTCATGTGCTCTCTTGCATATTAGACCAGTCCAGCCACTCTCTTGAGAACAAGAGTTACAGGGAAGCCTGTTCTGTTCCACAGCTGGAGCCCTTGCCTGAGGAGATCCTGCAGCAGAAACCCAATGCCAATGCGGTGCGCTCCTTGGAGGCTGTGATCCGGGTGCAAAGTAAGTGGAAATGTGGTTCCCACCCCCATTGAGTAGGTGGGTGGTGGTGGGTGCGGGGGAATGAGTGCTTTGTGGGCTCTTGTTCAGTCCTTTGCCTTTTGCTGTGAGCACTGTTTGTCTGCTCAGAGTTCCAAGGTAAATGAGTTGCTTGCAACAATAATTTAGGTGCAGGATGTGCTTCATAAAAGTGGCATGGCTCACAGCTTATGAATGAAGAGGGCTGAAAAGAGAAGGACTCTTCAGCTCAAAGTAACCTGGCAAAGACTAACCAAGTGGGGGAAACAGTGGCTACTTCCCGGAACTGTCAGATGATCCATATCAGGAGTGGGCAGGAAGTAGATCTCTTGATGTCTAGGTTTCCAGCTCCCAGGTTTCCTGGCCATTGGGCATGGCAGCAGGAGCTTCTGGGTGTCAGTTCAAAAACATCTGGAGACCTATCTCTTACCACCTCTGGTTTACACACAGTCTATATGATAGCGACTAACAAATCCTTGGTGTAACAATGGTTATGGTTGCTACTATCAGTACCTGATGTGGCAATTAAAACAGTTGGCATGGAGCAGTGGCCTGTAGGTTTGAGCCCCTATGCTGCTGTGGAGCTCACTGGGTGACTGGGCCACTCGTGATCTTTCATCATAACCCACCTGACAGGAGGGTAAATGCTGCTGGAGTGGAAGGGGAACCAAATATGCTGACCTAAGATCCTTGGAATATATATAATGCTTGGAATGCTCGGCAGCAGGAGAAAACCAGATCACCAAAGAGCAAGGGGGGTTAGACTCCATCAAAGAGGATGTGGGCCAGAGCATAGTTCAGCTGAAAGAGGTGGCACTGGATCAAAAAGTGTGGCCAGATTTGGCCCATAAGTTCACTTATACTTGGACTCAACTAAGCACCTGAACAACAACAAGATCCTTGAGGGAAAGGTGGGCTCCAAAGACAGCCCTTCAGATTTGGGAATAGGTGTATCTCTTCCCGGTTTGTTTTTGTTTTGTTTTGTTTTTTTGAGTATTTTTTTTATTATTTTCTGCAAACTGAAAAAAAGAAACTAAAAAAAAATCAATCATCAGAACCATCAGACCTGCTGGGTCAGCCCCCCATTTTTTAATATAGCAATCCGTAAATATTTTCAAATCTACGCATAGTCCCGTTTTTCTAGCCAATGATAAAAAGAGTTCCTAGTTTGATAGAAGTATGTATCCTCTTTCTCCTTCAGTGACAAAGTCAGTCTGTCCATTTCAGCACAATCCAGAATCTTTCAAAATCAGTTCATCAGTGGGTGGTTCTTCAATGTTGGGCAAATGCAATCATTGCCGCAATAATTACATGTAAAGTCAAATACACAGCTTGTTTATCGACATCATCAGGCACAATGCCTAGTAAAAGGACTTCAGGTTTAAATATTAAGGATTTTTGTAACATTTCCTCAAGCCATTTATTAATTTTAGCCCAATAGTTTTTTCCTTATCACAAATCCACCACATGTGATAGAAGGTATCCAGTTTATGTTTGCATTTCCAACATCCATTTGACATATTTGAAAGCATCTTTGCTAATCTATTTGGCGATAGATACCATCTATAAAACATTTTATAGAGGTTTTCTTTATATGAGGTTGCTAAAGTTACCTTGATATTTCTTTCCCACAATTTTTGCCATTTCTGTAACTCAATATTATATCCAAAAAATTGTGCCCATGTTATCATAGTTTTCTTAACTTGTTCATCTTCCATTCTCATATCCAAAAGAAAATTATACAGTCTTTTAACCATTTTCTCATCTGATTTTAAGATCACTTGGTCAAATGTTGTTAACTCCTTATAAAACCCCACATTTTATAATCTTTAACATATCTCGATTGTATTTGAACCTTGTGCCACCAAGAGATATTAATACCTTGCTCTTGTAATTCTTGGTTCAGTTTCAATCCTCCATCATTATCCAAACTATCATCATATTTCACAATCATATCAAAATTCAATGCATTTGGATATACAAGAGCTTCCATAGGCGAAGTCACCTTGGCAACTTAGTATACAGTTTTGTCTTTAATTTTTCCCACACCAATATTAATGACTTTCTAATATAATGATTTATGAAACAACCATGTGTCTTACACTTCTCATACCACATATAAGCATGCCAACCCATTTGTAGATCATGCCCTTCAAGATAAAGGAATCTCTTATTTCTTAAAGTTATCCATTCTTTTAGCCACATTAAGACAGAAGCTTGATAGTGCAACATCCAATCAGGCAGGCCAAAACCCCCATTCCCTTTGGCCTCCTGAAGCATTTTTAATATAATCCTTGGTTTCTTCTTTTGCCATTCCCGGTTTGTTTTTGACTGCAGTTGGATGAAATCACACCTCCCGGAACCAAATGCGGACCTGAATGTCTGCATCCCTACATTTCCAAGCTCTCAGTGTGATCTGTGCAACAGCAATGCATGCATTGGAATACACACAGACAGGTGATAGTCCCTGGGAGAAAAGGCATTCTTTTGAGAAGAGCATGTAGTTGATGTGTACATTTGGGGAGCTGTTCATGCACATGACTGTTCAATGTACGAGGAGGGGAAAGGCACAAGTCAGAAGGAGCTTCACAGTGAAAGTTGGAGAACCTCGACAAGCTCAAGTTTTACAGATTTTCACATACCAATTCAGGCCAGGACTCTGATAAATGCTACCCAATTATTGTATATGTCTTTCTCTCTGTCTGATCTCCCTGAACACAGACAACTGGGTGTGAACCAGAAGTGGTCTCCTTAGCACTCGGGTTTTCCATCCACCCCATCCAGGGCCAAGGGTTCAGGCGTGTAGCCTTTTCTCTGTGGCCTGTTGTATGGCCCAGGAACAGGGTTCACTCGGGGACCTGCTGTGCATTGTGGGGACCAAGCCTGAGAATTGCTGGAATCCCAGCAGGAGGCATCTCCAACGGGCAGCACATCCAGTCAAGATCTCTGTGATCACATGGAGCTGTGGGCCCTGCTCTTGCAGAGTTGGAGAACGAGTCCCGCCGGACAAACAGTGTCAGATTGGCCCAGTGTCCTGTTCTTCCCAGGCTTGTCTCTGAGCTTTGAGTGCTGGTGCTTTGGTGAGTGATGTGATAAGCTAGGCACTGATCCTGCCTTTTTTTCCAGGCCAGTACTGGAGCTCTGTACGGCGCTTTGCCCCAACAGTGGGCCGCTCGTTCCTGGAAGCACAACGCCACGAATCGGAAGAGGTGGAGACTGTGACAGCGCTGGCCTCGCTTTCTGTGATGACTGAAAAAAGGTGAGGAGGCTTCTCAAGCTCAAAGAGGTGGTGACCAGACCAGTGTGGTGTAGTGGTTACAAGCGCAGGACTGGGACTCAGGCCATCTGGGTTCCAGTCCCCGCTTAGCCATGGAGCCCGTTGGGTGACCTTGGGCCAGTCACAGACTCTCGGTCCAGCCTACCTCACAGGGTTGTTGTGGGAATAACATTGAGAGCAGGAGGAGGAGAATGATGTAAGCTGCTTTGAGTTTGTTATAAGAAAAAAGCAGGGTATAAATCTAATAAATTAATAGAGAAATAAGTAGCTAAGTCAAAGGCTGGACTGCAAAAGCCAATCTACTTTGGAAGAACTCTTTCTATAGATGGGTGGGCAAGATATGGCCATTGGCCTGCATCTCCCATCAGCTCTAGCCAGCATTGCCAAAAGTGCAGAATGATGGGAATTGCATTCCAACAACACATGAAGGTGACATGCCTTGAGCCAAAGACCTTGCATTAGCAAAAACCCTCACCCACAAAAAAAAGTTTCTGAAAATCCTAACCCTAACCCTAAAGATATCCTTGTGTGAAAGAAGGGATGGAGGAAAATTTCCCAGATAAAAACCCATCAACCATTCTCTGCTAGAGAGATTTCTTTCCCTTCCTCTTCTAGTTTCCCACCCAGAACAAAAGTTTCCTCAGTCCCAAGGGGAAAGGAGTGACATCAGCTTATGTCAGTGGTGCAGATATGCATGCAGCTGCTGAGCTCTCACTGGACCCCTGCACTTTACATATGTATCCCACTAACTACGATTTCCTGGTTTCTTCTGCTTTAGGCGGCAGGATGAGCCGATGGAAGAAGAACCCATGAACCAGTGAAGGACTGCCTGTTCTGCATCCTCCAACAGGAACGCGGCTTCCTTCATGGCTTGTTGCTCAGACGCAGTCCCGGTTCCCACCAGCCACGCAGCCCACAGTGCCCTTAAGCCGCGAGGCTGGAAAACTGTCTTAAAGTTCAGGCAGAGAGCTCTGTAGAAGGCGCACGTGGCAGATCCCCTGGGATTCGCAGCTGTCTTGGAGGGGCTGCCACATGTGAACCTCGACAAGGCCAGCACCAGTCCCAAACTGAGGTCCTCCCTGGAAGACCTGCCTGGGTTGAGAATCGGAGCACCAAGGTGCCCAGTGGGAGACAGGAGACTGGGTGCGGGCGGACTGTAAAAACTGGAGAGTTTACTTTGACGTTGGGGTGGTGCCTTTCCCCCTCCAGAACCAAAGACATTCTGCTGAGAGATCCTTCTGGGGAGGAGCCTGGATTATTCTCTTTTGTAAGCATGAGTTGATTGTCCCTTATTCCAGGATGCTTCTGGGTTTGCAGTGGGAGAACTTTCAGAAGCTAACATTTGATGGCAGACATTGACAGCATCTTTGAGGAGAGACCTAGCCCAATTCCTGCTAACGGCTGTCCCAAACTGACCCTTTTGGTCTAGGACCTTCCTGATTTGCACTATATACAGTTAATACAGATACAGACCTTGTCTATTTTTCATGAAACCTTGTTGGATCAAATTGCACCTCCTTGTTGGACTCAAGCCCTTGACTTGACCATTTCTCTGGCATCAAGGCACTATGTAAATATACAATTCTGTGGTGCTTGTGGCTGGTTGGTTGCCCTGATCCATGAAAGCAGGCAGCCTTATTCCAAAGACCAGACTTTGGGGGAAAGGAAAACGACTAGGACAGTTTGTCCTCTGTTATCTCAACCAATATGCAGAATTTGGATTCCTGTAAATCTCATTTGTTTGGGTTTTTTCTGTTTGTTAAAAAAAAAAATCTTACCGAGCTTCTAGTCCTCATGATATGCTTGAAAATGTGTAGGCAGTGCCTCGGTGAATGCACTGTTGAGTAAGAAATCTGTGATCTGTAGAACAATCACATGTTCATGGAAAGGTAACTAATTTTCACCTGTCACAAACACTGAGCAGGCCTGGCATACTTCCTCCAGGGAGGAAAGGAACTTGGGCACACACAGAGGGAAATTCATGTATATATGCACATACTTCTCTTTTGCTCTGTGTACATGCAGTTTACATCTGCTAGAAAGCTGCAATCAATACTAGGTTTCCAGAACAAACAATAGGCACCCATGACACTGATCACACATAGCCCTAGAAATCTTTTTGCTACTTCGAAGCATTTTGCACACTGGGAATATGTCAGGCTCAAGGGGGGGCTGATTTCACTGTAGGTCACTAGTCCCTGAGTGAATGTGGGGGAAGGGAGAAGACTGCTTCACTGGGAGGCAGGGCTGGCCCCGGCATGAGGGAAGGATGCATCAACACCACCCAAAGTCAGAAACAGCTGGATCTGAACCCAGAAATTAAGGCTCTGCTTTTGCCCAAGTGTGTTGCTTGTTTTGTAGCTGGGAGCAGCTCAGCTCTTCATATATTTGAGTTCTCTGCTCATTCCTCAAACATCAGCTGGGGAATTAGGGTCAGCTCAGCCATGAAGCAGGACAAAGCACCTGGCTGCAAGCAAAAAGGCCGAGCGATGGAGGAGGCCAATTAAGGTGGTGTGACGGATGGTGGCAGAGCAATGCAGCAGGCCTTTTTAAGTCGGCACCGACCACAACAGAGATCCCTTATCATGGGGTTAAGAGAGCTGTGCCCTTCCAGGTGGTGTCAGATTTCAGTTCCTATCAGCCCCAGCCAGTATGTGAAAGATGATGGGAACAGTAGTTCATCAATATCTGGTGGGTCACCACTTCCCCAGCCCTGATGTGTTTGTAGCATTGCACCAGTAGTGTCAAATGCTGTCCATCCACTCTCTTTTGCTGTAATAAAAAATGGTGAAGGCGGGGGAGCTGGACATGGCTCAGATGCACAGATGGAAGTAGTGGATCGGGTCCCTCTTCTACATGTGTCAGCTCATACATTATGACACTCAAATTTTGTGGTTGGCAACTGGTGCCCTCCAGATGACTCGGACTACCATTCCCGTAATCCCAGGTCAGCATGACCAAGAAGACAGTAATGAGAGGGGTTGAGGTCCAAAACATTTTGGAGGGCAGCAGGGGCCAATCCAAACTCAAATCCTTCTGAACTTATGTATCTCCTCCACAAAGGACATTTTAAACACCACCACCTCCTATTTTGGCCTGCATAGCACCCTCCAGCTTGGGGCCTCCTGGCATTTTGATGCAGGACCTGGCATGTCTCACCATTGGCCACACTGGCTGGGCTGATGGGAGCTGAGCTCTGAAAGATCTGAGGAGTACCACAATGGGGAAGGCAACAGCCAGGATCAGTGGGACAGTGCATTGTGCAGGCACGGCCTACAAAATTGCATTTTGTTGAAGAGCTCCTGCCAAGTGATGCAGACTTAATGCAGTGAGAGCAGCTGTGGCAGTTGCATTGCTGGTGTCTCTGGATCTCCAACTAGGAGGTAGCTATATTTCCATTCCCAGGATCCAGAGCCTTGCTCCTCTGTGGCAGCAGTTGTCAAGTTGGGGATCACTGCTGGGTTCATCTTTCTGAAAGCAGAAAATGGTGAATCCTCCTTGGAGAGGACATAGATCTGCTGAGCCTCTGAGGGAGTGAGTGCTACTGTGGTGGGGCCACCACAAAGAAGGTCCCGCTGCAATACCTAGCTCGTGTAGCAAGGTGGCTCCTTCCTGGGATGGGGGTTGCTGAATGTGCAAGATGGACAAAAGGTTGGAAAAGCAACCTGGATAGTAAAACCAGCAATGCTAGCAACTGGGCAACTTGGGACTTTCCAGGAGCAAACCAAGCATGCGAGCATAAATGCTAAAACATTGACTCACTGATAATCAGCCTGGAGTAGGACAATGTAAGTGTGATCTCAGGGTTCAAGGAGTGCATTCAGGGGTGATTGGGGTGATGTGTGACCACACAAGAGTCTTGCTGTCGGCTAAGTGGAAAAGAGGGAAGCTACCTTCAAAGGACGGGACAAGAACAGCACCAGGAAGTGAGATACAAAGGAGCTTGGAGGCCTTTAATTGCTTCCAGACGTGTTGCTATATTTCAACATCAAGTAAAGAAGGGTTATCGGCACGATGCTTTGGCTAGAAAGCTGGGATTTGAAGCACTTAATTCCATGAACGCTAGGAAAGTCTGAAAACGGGACTTTGATTTTAGACCCAATGCTCAAAATTGTTTACCTTGTAACAGAGCACTCCAAGGCAGCAGGAGGCGCATGTAGTTTTGAGTACCTCATGGGCCTCTACACTGCCTAGTGCCAGCCTTCTTCAACCTGATGCCCTCCAGATGTTTGGATCTCAGTGCTCCAGCCAGCCTGATCAATGGCCAGAAATGCTGTGAGTTCTAGTTTGACGTTAAGGCATCTGGAGGGCACCAGGTTGGGGAAGACTGATTCTAGGGAAGTCCAATAGCCAAGACATTTTGTATGTCCCTCCTTATCATGCATTTGAATCAGGTTTGAACTGGCGCTGGGGAGACAGGATTTCCAGAAGTAGCCAGGAACATACATTTGTGTTCAGGGAATGTGAGCTGCATGTGCTGCGCACTTGTCCGCCTGACAAGCTCACATGCCGTTGTGTGCTGTGTGAGGTCACGGAACATTCATTAACATTCTGACTGCTCCAGGGAAAATTGGCATGGGAGAAACCTGGCAGGACAAGGTAGCTTTTTATGAAAGAAGGCAAAGGTCCCTTTGCTAGGCTAAACTGCATGCAACAGGGGACTGGACAAGGATTTACAGGAACAGCCGTGTTGGACAGGGATACTAGAAACAGTGGAGAGGATGGGCTGGAAAGCCATGGAGTGACTGTCCCAATGAGGCAGAAAAAAAAATAGGATAATTGAGCAAAATTCAGTGTGACTTTGGAGGAGGATGGGGAAAAGGGACAAAAATGGCAAGCGATGGTTTAACAGAGCCAGGACTTGCTAGGATGCTTCAACTGCAATTTTTATTAGCAGGTACATTTAGTACTGGATGATGAAGGACAGGAGAGCCTGGAGGAATGTTGTCCATTGGATCATGATGGATCAGGCACAACTTCACGACTAAACAAAAATACATTTAGTACTAGGAACATTCTATTCTCCAGACTAGAATACTCAGAGTGATTTTGAAAGAAAAAATGTAATCAGGGAGACATCCCAATGAAGCTTTGTAATGATGGGTGACTTCAATCACTCCCACACTGACTGGGGGAATGCATGTTCAAGTCATGACCAAGTTCTCAATGTCCTACCTGATCATGCCCCAGAACCGATGGATGTGGAACTGACCGTATGAGAGGTAACCCTAAAAAGTGTTGCCTGGGACTTTGAACAAGGTGTGAGAGCTGTCAAACCGATTGAAAACTGTGATTGCAGTGCTAGCAGATTTGAGAGAGGGAGCGGGGAGGGGGGTCTAACAGTCATATAAGAAGGTTAAATTCCTTTAAAATGCTTGGGGGTTACTCCAAATCACAATGAAGATGCTCCATTAGAATGCATACCACAAGTTAGGAAAGCTAACCTCACATCCAAGTTGTCATTGAAGGCTTTAATAAGGGAACAAATTGCTAACAATCAAGCAAGGGCAACAATTATTTAAATATACCAGAATTAGCAAACCGGTAGGGAGATAGTTGGACAAGTAAATTATAATGGAGGATAAGGGGACTACAGAGGGTCCAAATCAACACTTTTCATCTGTCTCCAGGGCAGAAGATGTAGAACAGATCCCTGTATTGAATTGATCCTGCTAGGATGGAAGTCTGAGGAACTGGGGTAAATACTGTGACCAAAGATAAAAGATAAAAATTCTTAGCCTTATTGCAAAATCAATGTTAATAAATCACACCAGGCCCAGATGGTATCCATCTGAGAGTCCTTAAAGAACTCAAATGTGAAATTGCTCATCTTCTGTAAGTAAGTGTTGTTGTTATTAGTCGCGAAGTCATGTCCGACCCATCGAGACCCCATGGACAACATTCCTCCAGGCCTTCCTGTCCTCCACCATCTCCAGAAGTCCACTCAAGCTCACACCACTGCTTCAGTGACTCCATCTAGCCACCTCATTCTCTGCCGTCCCCTTCTTCTTTTGCCATCTATTGTTCCCAGCATTAGGCCCTTCTCCAGGGAGTCCTTCCTTCTCATTAGGTGGCCAAAGTATTTGAGTTTCATCTTCAGTATCCGGCCTTCTAAAGAGCAGTCAGGGTTGATCTCCTCTAGGACTGACCGGTTTGATCACCTTGCGGTCCAAGGGACTCACAGGAGTCCCTGCCAGCACCACAATTCAAAGGCCTCAGTCCTTTGGCGCTCCGCCTTCCTAATGGTCCAGCTTTCACAGCCATACATTGCAACTGGGAAAACCATAGCTTTGACTATACACACTTTTGTTGGCAGGGTGATGTCTCTGCTTTTTAGTATGCTATCTAGATTTGCCATAGCTTTCCCCCCGCTAGGAGCAAGCATCTTTTAATTTATTGGCTGCAGTCCCCATCTGCAGTGATCTTGGAGCCCAGGAAAATAACATCTGTCACTACCTCCATTTCTTCCTCATCTATTTGCCAGGAACTGAGAGGACTGGATGCCATGATCTTAGTTTTCTTAATGTTGAGTTTCAAGCCAACTTTTGCACTCTCCTCCTTCACCCGCATCAAGAGGCTCTTTAGTTCCTCTTCACTTTCTGCCATGAGAGTGGTATCATCTGCATGTCTGAGGTTGTTGATATTTCTCCCAGCAATCTTAATTCCAACTGGTGATTCATCTAGCCCCATCTTTCTCATTATGTGCTCTGCATATAAGTTAAATATGCAGGGCGACAGTATACAGCCTTGCTGAACTCCTTTCTCAATTTTGAACCAATGT